AGATTAGTGACTACATGTTCCACGCCTAGTGTGTCCAGTATTCCCCACAATTCCTCTTGAACCACACTATCGTACACTTCCTTGATATCCAAAAATGCTAGCCCCAGGGGCCTGTGTTCCTTTTCTGCTATTTCGATGCACTGCGTCAGTGAGAACAGATTGTCTTCCAACCTACTGTGTTTCCGAAACCAATTCTGCAGTTCCCCCAGCACCCCCTCAACCTCTATCTATGCCTGCAGTCTTTCCTTTATAATCTGCATCGCCAGCCCACAGACCACTGATGTCACTGTTATAGGACGGTAGTTGTTTATGTCAGCTTTGTCCCCATTTCCTTTATAGATCATACTCATCCTGCTAAGTTTTCATCCATAGGAACTTCACCATTCATTATTAGTTTGCTCACTGCCTCTCTCAAAACCTGCTTAGACTTTGGACCTAATGTCTTTATAAGCATAATTGGAATGCCATCTGGACCTGTTGACGTACTACTAAGAACCCTTTTCTCAGCCCTTTCCCACTCTCGCTGTGAAAATGGAGCCATTGCACCACTTGATTCATCCTTGTCTATTGTGGTGCATAAAGTACTTCTTTGTTGAAATTTTTCTGTCACCCTTGCTCTTATATATTCAACACCTTCATCCCCTTCTAGCCTAGCACCTTGGGCTGTAGTTATAAAACTCTGCTCTAGGCTCGTCTCATTTCTTAGGGAGTTTAGATGGTTCCAAAATTTCGCAGCTGCCTTTCTATCTTTTTTATGTACTTCTGCCAGCCACTGATCTCCCTTTCTTCTAATCTTTTCATTGATCAGAAGGGATGTAACCCTTCTACAGCTTAGAAAGTTTTTCCTTTTTCTTTCAACATCATCTGTCGGTTCACCCCGCTTCTTAACATGTCTGTGTTCCCTAGAGGCTTCCTGACGTTTTGCTATGGCTCTCTAACTTCTTCATCCCACCAACTTTTGGGTTTGTGTCTTCTTTTCCGGGGTGACTTGTCACGCGTCTTAGCAAGCTCTAGCTCAAAGAGTCTAATTAGATTCGTGTATGTCCACACTGTCTTATTATCCTCCGTGACTACCTTCTCAATTTGTTTAGTGGCTATTTCAATTTGCCTTTCTGGATAAAAATTTTCCTGTAGTTGCTCATCTTGTCTCCTTCCCACTTTCACTGCTCTTCCAAAACTTAACTTGATACGTTTGTGATCACTACCCAGATTTATGGAGCCACCTTCATCTATGTGCGTTCCCCTGAGCTTATCATACATTCTATGTGACATCAGTGCATGATCTATCGTCGACTCCAGCCTTCCTACCTCCCATGTTATTTGCCCTTCACACTTCTCCGTACTGTTGCAAATGATCAAATCGAGCCTTTCACACATATCCATGATCATTTTGCCTGTCGGGTCGGTATAACCATCTATATCTTCTATGTGCGCATTCATGTCTCCTAGTATAATTATCGCGCACTCTCTTCCTAACTCCTGAATGTCCTTTGATATACACTCTACCATTGCCTGGTTTTCCTCTCTGGCCTTTGCTCCCGTCCACAAGTACAGGAAACCAAGGAGTGTCATTCGACCTGTTAATATACCCTATGTCTGAATTGGCTCGGCGCTCGTGGCTACGTCTATTTATGCCCCGGACCTATCTTAGATACTGGTGTCACTTTGGAATCGTATCTGTCCATACCACCTGTCAAAGAGTCTCCCTGGTTGTTTTCCTCGATACTAGCTATCCTGCACCCAAAAGGGCCTGCTTGCCCCCCCCCCCCCCCAAAAAAAAAAGCTACTGCGCGTCCTGCAAGTCGCCAACCCACCTCATGACGTAGTCGCCCATCGAAGTGAATTCTGTCTCGTTGAAAACCACCCCACCTATGCACCTCTCTGTTTATTTCCACCACCTCAAAGCCTTTCTCTCGACTCATCCGCCATATCTTTTGGTTTGCGTTGACAACCGCTATTTGCAGGTTGCTATCACGCATCGGTACCTCCGGTATCGTGCATATCGCTACCTGTACCTGAGGAGAAGTGGCGCGCATGTCATCGACGCCTTTCGCCAGTGGGGTTGCTAGTCCTGCTGTATCTCCATTTAAGACATCGTGTAAACCACCTGTTATATACCTTCCTCTTGAAGGATAGTGGCAATCTACCTGTCATAATTTGAGAGTGCTTGCCGAATGTGCTCCACCCCATTCTTATTCTTCTAGCTACTTCAATCTCGTGGTTCGGCTCTGCGGTTATTACCTGCCCTAAGTAGACATAGTCTTTTACAACTTCAAGTGCACTATTACCTATCTCGAAGCGCTGCTCCTTGCCGAGGTTGTTGTACATTACTTTCGTTTTCTGCATATTAATTTTAAGACCCCCCTTTCTGCTCTCCTTGTCTAACTCCGTAATCATGAGTTGCAATTCGTCCCCCGAGTTACTCAGCAATGCAATGTCATCGGCGAAGCGCAGCTTACTAAGGTATTCTCCATTGACACTTATCCCTAACTGTTCCCATTCTAGGCTTCTGAAAACCTCCTGTAAGCACGCGGTAAATAGCATTGAGGAAATTGTGTCCCCCTGCCTTACACCCTTCTTGAATGGTATTCTGTTGCTTTCTTTATGAAGCACTATGGTAGCAGTTGATCCCCTGTAGATTTCTTCCAGAATGTTTATATATACTTCATCTACGCCCTGATTCCACAGTGTTTGCATGACGGCTGATATTTCTGCTGAATCAAACGCCTTCTCGTAATCTATGAAGGCTATGTATAGTGGTTGGTTATACTCTGAGCATTTCTCTATTACCTGATTGATAGTATGAATGTGGTCAATTGTTGAGTAGCCTGTTCGAAATCCTGCTTGTTCCTTTGGTTGATTGAATTCTAATGTTTTCTTTACTCTTACAAAGAGGGTTCAGCTTAAATTGAGGACGACGCAGCGAGCAATGGGAAGAAAAATGGTAGGTGTAACCTTAAGAGACAAGAAGAGAGCAGAGTGGATTAGGGAACAAACGGGGGTTAAGGATATTATAGCTGAAATCAAGAAGAAGAAATGGATATGGGCAGGGCATGTAGCGCGTAGACAGGATAACCGCTGGTCATTAAGGCTAACTGACTGGATTCCCAGAGAAGGGAAGCGGGTTAGGGGGAGACAGAAGGTTAGGTGGGCAGATGAGTTAAGAAGTTTGCGGGTATAAATTGGCAGCAGCAAGCACAGGACCGGGTTAACTGGCGGAACATGGGAGAGGCCTTTGTCCTGCAGTGGACGTAGTCAGGCTGATGATGATGATGATGATGATGATGATGTAAACCGCCTGAAATTATCAAGAGGTTTCGTCTATCAGCTGTAGTTTTGAGTTTTGTGCTCGCTTGTCTCATGACTGCTTCCAGCTTGCGTCCTGGGAACGCCCCTACTGCAACCCTCTTGTCACCTCTTACCCTCTCTTTGATGGCTTCTGTGCATCAATTTAAATTCGTGTCCCCGGCGATTATCACTTGCTGTGACTTTTCAGCTGGAGCGTCTTGCACCTGGGGGCTACTTGCACCTGTGACGCCGGCTGCTTTGTCCCCTCCCAGCCCCACCACTGCCTCGCTGAAGCTGGGCCTTGCGACAATTGAACCGGCTGAACCTGTTTTTTCCAAACTTGCTTGCTCTTCCTTCTCCGCCGTTCTGGTTGCCGGTTCCCTACTGTTCTCTCCGTAGGCCGCTCCTTTGTTCAGCTTCGCTAGTGCTTCCTCGGTGGACTTCAGTCTTTCTCCCGTTGCTCTCGTTTTCTCTTGCTCTGTCGCCAACGCAGTCTCGAGCTCGGCGATTCTCATCAGCAGTTCACTCTGGGCAACCATCTTTTTCTCCATTTTTTCATCGACCTCACATGGCCTACACTTCGCGTCAGCCTCTTCTCCACCCGCTTCTACACTTGGGTCCACTTTCAAACCCACTCCACATCCTGAACACTTTACAGTCCTTTTAACCATGTCTTCCTGACACCAATTGTCCCTATACTCGATAAAAACTAAAATCGAGTCCTGCACGACGAAAAAAAAAGAAAGTCTAAGCTCTACTACAAAAATTTGCGTGTTCAATGTACGCGCACCTGCCCCACGGTGTGGCAAAAAAAAACAACAACAAAAAATTCAAACATACACACCCGCAATAACTAATAAATACCTGGTGACTGGCCCCCGAAAAAGCCTTGCCATAAAACTAGTGCTACGAAGATTTCAACTGCTGCCTTTCAATTATAAAGACAAGCTCAAAACATGCAAAAACACTTATCTGCGCAGTCGATCAGGAGCACTCAGAAAACACGTCCATCCACCATTGAAAGCGCGAACCGAGATGTATTGATGCTGCCCCGCCACCTTTAGGAAGTTTCCTGCATCTAACGTCGCTTTGCACAGCCTCTAAGATCTGAGGCACGTCACCTTGTTTCACACTGCGTCCATGATCGGCACCCCTCTGATCAAGAGGCGATCATGCCACGTGATGAAGTCATTGTAACCCCATGAGGACGCCATGATGAGTACACAACTTTTGGTGGCTTGTGCCGTCACGTTGATATCATCCGGTGACGTCATCACGTGATGATTTGTGGCATCACTTGTGTTCTTGCCGACGCTATGGGACGCCGACAAGGTCAGTAGATATTCGCGTTTGATGGGGCATCGTCTAGGCTTTGACGCTTTAAAATTTCAGGGGTCTGCATTTACATGTACATCTATAACGAACCTATGCCTGATCATCCGCCGGAATAGGTATGCGCCAACACTTAAAAAAGAATGCCTACTACGTACACTATTACGTATTATTGCTATTTCATTTTTTATTTTTAAAATCAACTAAGATTCTTCAATTAACATTTAAAATTTTCAACTTCCTATTCTTGACCAATATTAAGGAATGGGCCAGTGCCGTGCCGTAGATTGAAGGAAAAACAAACAAACAAACAAACATTTTCCCCCGATGGAATACAAGAAGAAGAACAAGAAGAAGAACAAGAAGAAGACTGTCCGGCCATGGGACCCCGGCGTCCAGCACAGCTGCTGGGGCTTGCCACGTTTCTGGCGGCGTGCGCCAATGCTCTGTGCATCGTGCTGCCCCTCAACGGAGACTGGAAGGTCTACAACCGAAATAAATGTACGTACTCACTAATAGACAGAACGAATCGGGTGTACTCTCACCTACAAACGCCGGGTCATCACGGTACGCGCTCAGTCACTTTCTCCCTGCCCAAATAAGGTAGAGAGAACTTCAGTGTATGATGGAAGCTTGAAGATGCGAAAAATTCTTAAGAACACGGTGTGTCGCTGGAGTCATTGTGTGGACAGACGGTCTTGTCTTTTCCAAGGCAGTTAGATGCCTTGAAGAGAAGACAAGAGGAAGCAAGTGCCAGCTCCAGTGGCCCCCCGTGTTCGGAAATTTATCACGTTTTTTTCTGCCGGCTCTGCATTCTAAAAATAGTTCGTATGCGTACCATTTCCGAAGTTTTTCGGAAGTCTCTTTGTACAATAAAAATAACCATCTGAATATCATGCCTTTTGTCGCCTTTAATACCGTGCTCTCCGTATATTTGAGTCTCCATTGCTATGCCATGCTATCTGCGTGAAATACGAAGACTGATGGGAACGCGATCACTGCCGACATTTCGAGATAGCGATTATTACTGTTGGATGGAGAGACTCCCCGAAATGTGCAACTCATTTGGGAGTAAGGATGCCGTTTAAGGTGTGCCAAGTCACAAATATTATAACGCCAGGGGTCGTGAAAATACTCCCAAGCAGTCTACACACGCACAGACCAAATCTGTGCTCTAAACTTGCCATGACTAAATAGCGGCATAGTTACCGAGTCCTGTTCAAAAAAAAATCACATCGCAGCTCCATGGGCAGAGTTTTGCAACCTATGTACAAAAAAATTGGCAGATCCCACGCACAGAGGGAATCGATCATATGCGAAGCACGAATGAGGAAGGTTGATATATGTCACTCTAAAATCAGCACAATATTACGAGGTGGAGGCAAATGATGCTGTACATGATAACATGATAATCATGGGTTACGTGCCATGATTATCATGTTTGGATGTGTTGTTTACCTTCGTCATCTATTCACGTCACGCGACACCAGATTTAGTATTTGTGGAGCTAGTGAAACGGCTGCGAGCATGCAATGAGCGTGGTATGTTGTCATTTTCTTCAATGACAGGCTTGTCAGCATTATCATGTGTTTCACCAGTCATATACTTTCGTCATCCATTGGCGTCACGTAACACCAAATTTGGTATATGTGGAGTTTGCAAAACGGCCGCGAACGCATCATGAAGGGCCCAATATACTGCTATGTAGCGCTGACGCGCGCGCACTCTGAACACATTAACGCTACGTTAGCAAAACGTGAGCCCTCTATAGTCCGACGCCAGGCGCGATAGGAGCGACCAGCGTCCGTCGGCGCGGCCCGATGCCAACGGGCGCGAAATGCGACGTGCTCCATTTCGCGACGATGCGTTACCCATACAGCACTGCGTCTCCCTCTTTTCGTGACGGAGGGACGCTGAAACACGCATGCGTCAAAGCAACACAGCGCGGCGCGCGCCTGCGAGTATATGGCAAGACCGGTGCCTGGCGTGGCAACGCCGGCGTAACGCGACAAAATGAACACCAGTCAGCACGCGCACCGCGTCATGTCGAAATGTATTGGCGCGTTCACTGTGGTATGTAGTCATGTTCTCACATGGCACGCATCTCATGATTATCACGTTTGCACCAGTCACTTGTATACCTTCGTCATTCATTGACGTCACGTAATACAATATTTGACATGTGTGAAGCTAGCGAAATGGCCGCGAGCGAATCGTGAGTGTGACATGTAGTCATGTTGTTACATGACACGCATGTCATGATTATCTTGTTAGGGTCAGTCGCTTGTGTTCAACATGCAATCATGTTATGTCATACCATATTTGCAACATGCCATGTGAACGAAACCACCGCAAACGCTGCAGGACCATGAAATGTATATCATGACATTCATGACATGCGTGTCACGATTTTCATGTTATGACTAATGAGATTTTTTTCATACAGTCATGCTATGCCATAGCAAGTTAGGTATCAATGCCATTATTGAAACGGCCAGGAGAGCTAAAAGTTGTAGGTGGCTAGATAGATAGATAGATAGATAGATAGATAGATAGATAAATAGATAGATAGATAGATAGATAGATAGATAGATAGATAGATAGATAGATACGCTCAAAGTCGCCAAAGTTCGCCAAGAAATGCTTCGCATTTAATAATACGTTATTCACAGAGAAGCATGATCACTGACTATAAGCTTGTTTTTTCGGCTCGAAACAATTATACGCTGGGCATGTTGGTAGTCAATCTTTTTCAAAATGAGCGCGACCAAATGGATGAACTTGGGACTGGACGAACGGTGCAGCCTTCGGTGATTCCTATTTTTGTTCTTGTTGGTTACAGAGTTCTTGCATACATAAAGATCTAGGTTCGACTTTGAAGCCACGTGAATGACGAAGAAAGACATGTGCGATATTTTCGCGATATTTTATTCATTTGAGGTCCCATTTATATTGCAGCCTACGTCACACCAGCGTCATATGGTAATTCATAATCCGAACTTGAACATTTCAAACAGACGTGACTGTTTGGGAACATACCAACGTTCATTTCATTAAAGTTGTGTTCCTGTGGAGCAAGTATTAATTTCAATGCAATCCCCACCATTGACGGGACTCATTGTGGTAACTCTGTAGCCGTGGAGCTGCGCTGTTGAGCTTAAAGTAGCGTACTTGAACCTGACATGCTACCTTAAGCTGAAGAAAACGTGCGTGCAGTGAATTTTATTAGTGGCTACAAACGCTAAAGATCTTCAGTGGTTCAAAGTTATGCATGCAGGAGTCCTCCACTGCGACATGTATCATAATCAGATATTACTTTCAATACGCGAACTTCCGTGAATCTCTCAACTGTCGATTAGACAAGTATAAAAGATGGAGTGGTGTTGACAGGTGGTATGAGGTTCGGTAAGATCCAGACGAGTGATAAGTTTCATACTCCTTAAGGAAACCAAACCTGCAACACGACTCACCAGAGTTCACGGCAACGGTTCCAAGAGAAACTTTCTCGTGAATCTCGATTCTGTCGCACGTCGTTGTTGGAGCATTGAACCTCACTCTCACGTACATACATCTCACATGCCCCTCGCAGCCTACCACTTCACTGGTGTGGTCCCTGGCAACGTGTACACAGACCTGATGCGCGCCAAGCTCATTGAGGAAGCCTACTACCGCGACAATGACGAGCGCTTCGCCTGGGTTGGCCACGACAACTGGACCTACACGAGGGATTTCCACTGTGCGTATTCGTTCCTCGCCCTGAGGTCATCTCTTAAGCTGGAATAGCCGTTTGCGTAAGCAGGAGACGGGGGAGGCCCCCTTAACAATATAAAGTGAGTGGAAACTCTGAGAAAAAGGAGGAGAACAGGAATGGAGAAAAAAAAATAGAAAAAGTGAAACAGAGAATCAAGATAGGGGTGATCATGAGAACACCCAAACGTAAGCGGCTAGATATATAGATAGATAAATACGCTCAGTCACCGAAGTTCGCTAAGTAATGCTTCGCATTGAAATAAAGAAACAAAGCAGGCCAAACCGATCCGCATTTCCTTCTATAGCTTGGTATCACAAGTGGAAACCTGCCTTGTTTTCTTTTTTTCCCTTTCTCGCCGAAAACCAGATATTGTCGGGAGACCTGTATTATTGCCCTTTAATCATTCATGCTATGTATGACGTATTGCTGTACACGTTATTTCTTTGCAGTTAAGCTTCGCCGAAAGCAGAGCATGTGAATACAATACGCACTGTATAACGAATGCTACTGTGGCAGTCTTTCTGTAAGGAACACAGGTACGAGTCATTTTCCCCGCGGTGATTCCGCGTACGTAAGATGTCTTTGTTTGCTCACAATGAGTGAGCCCAAAGCAGGGTTACTTATTCATGGTGTAGAGACAGAAACAACAAAAGGAGAGAGAAAGAGTCCTCGTGTGGCTGTACAGGCGCTCGGGTTCCATGCAAAGCTATTGATAACGCATAACGGACAGGTGCGACTAAAAGAGTAGCGGCAGGTAGACTACATGTTTTTTCTCTTTTTTTTTCTAAATAATGCCCCGCATTCTGTTGAAGAATGATGTTGTAATGGTCCCTGGATTAGACGTGCATGGTTAACGAAAGTTGATTGTCTCTGCTGCCGATGCCACTCTGGATAAGGAACCTCATGGTCTTTTTTTTTTCTTATTACCGCGAAGTTCATGTCACTGCCATCGGCACTACAATTACGTAACAAGTCAGTGATTTCGTGCGTCCTTGCACCGTGTCAGTGCAAGAGGGGCACACGCAGCACCGCCGAGTCCTTCTGGTCGCCCACGGCATCGACACCGTGGCCACTGTGTACGTGAACGATGTGGCCGTGGGAGAGACGGACAACATGTTTGTGCGCTACGTGTTCGACATCAAACCGCACATCAAGGTATGCGTGCTCGTAACATTCAGTTGCGCGCTGACAACGCAGCAAGGTGAAGGGGCAGGCGTGAACTGGTGCCCAACTGAATTCGACGATCACTAGAAACTGGAACCCCCAGCTGTATCTACTTAAGACATGAATGAATGATTAGATAGATAGATAGATATACAGATAGATGGATAGATAGATAGACAGATAAATAGATAGATAGATAGATAGATAGATAAATAGACAGACAGACAGACAGACAGACAGACAGACAGACAGACAGATAGATAGATAGATAGATAGATAGATAGATAGATAGATAGATAGATAGATAGATAGATAGATAGATAGATAGATAGATAGATAGATAGGTTTACATACATGGAAAAACAGGTGTGCCCTCACAGTCACGTGGAGCCTCCTTCAAAAGACAAGCTAAATATGCCATAACGTGTCATTATTTATTGACGAAATAAGTCGCAGAGGTCAACTTTTGTTTAAGTAAATCAAAACTAAATTGCTCATGGGCAGAATGCATGTGAAACTGAAAAAAAAGGAAAGTAATAGTATGTTTGGTGTTAACAGGAATGGAAAGAGGAGAAGGAGAGAGGTTATTCTGGCGAGCCGTAGCTAGGTACACTACTGAACCAACTGTGTCACCGGCGGGCAAATGTCGTACACCGTTACGTGGTGTGCGTCATCCGGCGCGTTCATTCCGCCCAGGTTGGCTACAACAACGTGAGCGTCGAGTTCACCTCGGCAGTGGCGCACGCTCGCGAACGTGCGCGCCTGTACGGCAAAGGTCATACGGTGCCGCCCGAGTGCCCGCCGCTGCGCCAGCGCGGCGAATGCAGCGTCAACCAGGTTCGCAAGGTGCAGGCCTCCTTCAGCTGGGAGATGGCACCGGCGTTCGCCACGCAGGGCATCTGGTGAGCGTGAAGTCATTGCGACTGACGTTATCTGATAAGAAAAAAAAATTCTTTTTCAAGGCTTGAAAAAGAAAAGTGCGTATGCTGAAACGTCTGCTCCAGCATCCAGCCCATGTTTTCGAATTTCTCATGGTTAGCTTCCATCTTGCATTTCTTACCTTTCTTTTGGATGTAATCTGATGAGGCGGTATCTGCCTCAAGAGCGTTTCTTACCAGGTGAGCTTACAGGTATTGCTTAAAAGGGGCCTGCAACACTTTTTGAGCATGGTCAGAAAACGCTGCCGATCCCGACAACATGCGAGCCAATTATTATAGCACAACATGCGGCTTGGAATTAACAATAAATTATCAGTCAGCTTAAAATTAGCTTATCTTCTCTCGACAAATCACGTGATATGCCCGAAAATTACGTCAAAGACTCAGCCATCAGCTGATTTGAACATGGCACGCTCGCTCGTTACAGAGATCGCCACGGGAGGCCGCTACTTGTCCACGCGTGCCCACGTGATCACACTGACAAAGCCGCGCATTCAAAGAAAGAAGAAGAAAAAGTGCTCGAGGTCACGAGGCGCGGGTCACGCGGGGGATGTATTTTCTTTGCCCCTGCCACCATTCCCTGCTTAGCTTCCAGTGCTTTCGTCAGGACGAGAGAAGAGAGAATGCAATTGCATCATGCGACAAATATTTGTAACTCCGCTCGCACTGGACGGATTCTTAAAATTTTTGCGGCGTTGAATTCGTGAAGCAATAAGCTCTTCCAGTGAATTCATTCCATGGTTACTCAAAAAGTGTTTCAGGGTCCCTTTTTAGGCCAATGCAGGAGGCTGCTTTGCCCTAAAGAAAACAAATGACAGTATAGTGTATGTTTGTGTGCTGTTACATGAGAAGTAAATTATTGAATATCTTGTCCACACTATGATACCAGTTCGTTCTATAATAGTGCACTAGATGATATAGCGTAGCCGATCGTTTTGCAGGAGAAAACAGGAGCGGGAGGGTTCAACCATTCTTTATATTATGGGGAGAGGAGAGTTCAACCCTCCCCCTTTTGACCCAATCTGGACCCCCCCCCCCATGACTACCCCCGTGTAAGAGGAAAATCTGGCGCTAATGTTTATGGGGAATGCAGGGCATGGCCCCTCAGCCAGCATGTAAATGATTACCTTCACTTTTAACGCGAAAGCGTTGTATGCCGGGGTCCACCACGACTCCACAGACGTATTTCCGTTATGGATATGGCGTAGTAAAATGTGTACTGACTGCAAACAAAAAAACAAGAGGCCTCGAGTCAGCGACATCTCTCTCTGCGTGCGACACTAACAACTCAGCCACAGAGGGCACTTCCCCAACAAGACAACGCCAAGCTCTTATATACGCTATGTACCACTGGCAGTCGTCCGAGTTCAGCATCTTGAGCGTTTTCGTCATCGCTAGCGCGATGGCACGAAGGGCACGGAGGAAGGAAAGCTCCGTGACGAAGGGAGTGCGTTGGGCGTGCACGCTCTCAAGGTCGTCGGGCCACGCCACCCCGTGCGTCGCTATATACGCACGCTTCCACATGGCGTGGTCAAGGTGCGTGTAGATGTTCTTTAGCGTGGCGGATCCCTCGCGCACGTGCTTATCTCGGGATTCGGGCATGTACTTTACACCTCTCGCGCTTCTGCCGCAAGTTTGCTTTGAAGTTATAGTAGTTGAAGGGAGCACGAACGTCACTTTGCTCGCTGCTGCAGCCTCGTTTGCAAAAGGAGCGCACTGCTCACACAGTAAGAAGATAGAATTGTGACAGCTGTTCGCGCAAGTGTTGTGTGTACCTGTGGGCTCATTGCGTGCGTTTTTATTTCTGCGTGAGCGGCGTGCTTTAAGCGTTGAGCAGTGACAGTTGTTTTCCGCGCTCGTCCTGCGCATGCTACTTTCTTGCATGTTTCCTGCTTGTGGTGTGCCCTGCAAGCTTCTAGCTGCTTGCCGGTCGCCACCCGACATTGAAATGTGTTGCTGTGACGTCCATTTTTTCGTCTTTGCGGTGGAATAATGCACAATCAACACTCAACTACCTCTACGAGGACACGTGTCAATTTCGATTTATACCGATTCCTAAAGAGGGGGTGTCGTAACGGACTAGCCGGGAGGCAGAAACTTCCCTTAAAGGACGACGAGAGAGAGCCAAGCTGTCTTTTCAGTATAAATGCGTGACGAAGACTAGCTTATTTTACTATGTACAGCACTCTCGTACAGAGGGGAAAGAAAAGTAAACTGAAACATTCAGAGGAACACACGCATACACAATCAAAAAGAATTTTCTCTGCACCCCGCACGTGCAAACGTTTTGAGCAACAGATGAAGGTTGGACGTAACACTGTCCCTGTAAATTTGTCTTTCTTCCATGGGTGGTCCCGTAGGTCGTAAAGGTGCGCTGACGTCAAGGACGCTTTCTCTACGGTTCGCCGAGTAAACCACTCGTTGTCGCCATTGTCGCACTTTTGAAACGCGTCCTCCCTAAGTTGCCCCTTTCCTGCCTTTTCGCTGCGGGTCATTCAAGTAACGTTCCTCTGAAGTGGTGGTTGGTTTCCATTCTGCTACAAATACCACGAAGGGATTAGCCACGTTTCTTTAGGACACTGTGTTACCAGCCGTCGCATTGTCGCGCGACAAGGTACAGCTAAACTTCGGCAGTGCCACTTCACTACCTTGGCTGTAGGAAAACCGTAAAATTATAGTTTAGTCTGCGAACACCAGTCCGGGCAAGAAATAGAAACAGTATGTGCGGGCAATGAATTTCGCGTTCAGGTATCAGTTCCACCTATATTAACAAAGGAAACTGCAGCGATCATTCATCCTCTATAGACATGATTGGTAATATATGGATTTGCCTAGTCTTCGTGCTTACGTCTATGAATGCACTATATCGGTCTTGCTTAGTGGTGTGTTTTGGCGTTTGTTTCGAATAAAAGAATGTATCCTGTGAACCTCGCGAGCAGGTTTGAACTGGCGTTTCTGCGACGTCATGCGACGTCATCTAGCTTTAACTCCGGACTACGGGACTTGCGTCGTTCACGTTGACGCCACAGCACACGTCTATGGTCACATTTCTCGTTTGACGAGGCAATCTAGGCTTTTGTCTTGAAACATAACGCTTCACTCGAGCAAAAATAATAAATATGGTACCAATTTTTCAGAAGTGTTTACCCTAATTGTTATTTATTCTTATTTATAATAAGTATATGATTGCCATTTTGGTTTATGACGTGCAATGATGTCCTCCGTATTATATACAGCGCCTTCCCTAACCAACTTGATCCCATGCATATCTATTTTTTATTCTCATCGTGGTTTTTTGAACAACTTGCATGGTCTTATACTCCGCGTGTATATGCAGTCCTAATCCACTTCGCGAAAACTTGATATTCGCTGTGATATTAGAACGATGTGCGACGTACTACACTGAAATAAAGGCAACCATCTTTCATACCACGCGCTGTTCTTCTACTTTCTTGCAAGCAGAACCGTTCCACGTGTAGCCACTGTCTTACGCGCACAGCGCCACAATGTCGAACATTCTCGATTCTCTTACGTTGTTCTGAAAAGCTTGAGCATGCAACGCAAGCGGTGGAGTTTATTCTGTAGCTAACGCGGCAACAACCACTAAGCCTGAAAATTCGGATGCCAAATGTATCCCTAGCGCCTTAGCGCTGACTAAATTATTCGATGGCGGTTTCCGCCGGTATACTTGCACTCAAAGGTGTCGTTTTTTTTTGGGGGGGGGGGGGGAGGGGGGGAGGGGCGTGAGTTTTCCTAACGCGTACTTTGATCTTTACTGGCTAGGATTGCTTTATTCACCGTAACAGCCACGTTGCAATAAATCGAACATGAACAACAAAGGAAACGGTTTATTCGACCAGTACACACGAAGAGAGAGATAGAGGCGATTGTATACTGAACTATTCGATTAATTAGAGTGTGCGTTCAGAAAAACGTGTTTAACGGTTTAGAGTACTGGGTACTCTAGTATGGGAGGACATGAAGCCGCCCCAACCCAGCCATGAACGAAAAACTCTAGTATTGGAGGACATGAAGCCGCCCCAACACAGCCATGAACGAAAAACTCAGACAATTTAGATTTAGAGTGCGTTCAGCAAAAGTGGTGAACGATTCTTGGTACTCTTCTATGAGAGAGCATAAAGCCATCCCGTAGGCTTAAACAAAAGCATTTCTCATTTGAATCGCAGATTTAAAGTGTGTTTAGAAAAAGTGGTTAACAATTTAGAATACTCTGTACTCTACTATGGGAGGTCTGAAAGCCATCCCTTGGGCCTCAGATGAGGCTGCATTAACAATATCTTCCTGTGTGTGTTAAGAAAAAGTGGTTGACGATTTAGAGTACTTGATACTCGAATATGGGAGAGCCGAAAGCCGTCCCTTGGGCCTCACACTTGATGAGGACCTATTGCAATTTTTTATCTGCCTCACACGTGTTTAGAAAAAGAGTTGTACTTTGTACTCTACTATGGGAAGCATAGAGCTGTCTCATTACTCTATGGTCGTCCCATGGGCCTCAGACATTTGATGAGTGTGAAACATAGGTAGCTTTGCACACTGTGCAGCCGACATCGTGTTTAGAAAAAAGGTGTTGACGATTTAGAATACGCACTACTCTACTATGGGAGAGCATAGAGCCGTCCCGTGGGCCTCAAACCAGTCCGCCACATACGCCCAGCGATTTTCTTGTTAACACAGTGATTTTGCTACCTTACTAGTGACGGTGGGCAAGTGTACGCATGAATCATGTCATCTCAACCTCCTCACATGCTGCGGTGTTTTAACTGCAGTAGTCTTCGCTTGTGCAGGTACCCAAGGCCGCGTGCTCAATTGTCTGTCATTATATGGCTTTATTTTGATACAGCAAAATAACCTTTGAGTGAAATTTTGATATTCTAATAAAATTTTCCTTTTTTATGGCAACCAAGAGCACTTCATTTTGGAGTTTAAAATAGCGAGCTCATTGTATATCTTGGATAGATAAAAAATTACAGCATATCTACGGAGTGAATGATGATGAGTGGGGCGAAGCGTCCATCAGTCCGTCCGCACATCCCTCCGTCCATTCGTTCTTGCTTCCGTCCGTCCATCCGTGCGTCCGTCCATGTCTCCATCTGTGCGCCCATACATGCGTCCGTCTGTCCACCCCTGCGTCCATCCGCGCATCCGTCCATCCAACCGTCCGTGCATCCATCCGCCCGTCTGTGCGACCGTCCATCCGTCCGTCCATTCATCTGTCTCTCTGTCCATCCATCCGTCCGCTCGTGCAACTATCAATCCATCTGTTTCTATATCTGTTCATCCGTCCATCTAGTGGGCACTCCACAAGTACAACCATCTCGCATCTTTTTATCATGACATTTCCCAGGACTAAACGAGCAGTGGCTACCTGCTACTACTACGACTACTGCTATTACTATTTCTAATACTACTACTACTACATACATGCATCGCGGACACACGACCCACGGCTTAATGAGCTTCGCCCCTAAATAGAAGCAGCAGCAGTGCGCACGGGGATGACCTGGTTGAAACAGGACGCGGGTGCTGGAAGAACGGTTTGAAGCAAAACTCGGTATAGCGTTTACTCGAGTCACTGTACGGCAAGAGGGAAAATTCGTGCATCAACGTTTATAGTCACCTGCCTCTTTCTTCGAGACTATTCACGTCAGCTGATTATCGACATAGACTTCCTTCGGGAATACGGTGCCATCATAAATCCCCGTGAGTGCATCGTGACTTTCTCGACTCAAGGTGCAACAGATCAAGACGCTGATAACTGCCGTAGACCTGCGCTGCGTATTGCTGACGACAGTGTGACGCTGCTGTTTCAAGCGGCTGTTTCCATCGAAGCCACTTGTGAAGACCTCCGATACGGTGACGTGGTGGCCGAAAACAACCTATCACTTCTGCTGCTTCAAGGTGTATGTGCCGTCCGAAGTGTTGTGGCGTTTCCGTGATGGACAGTCACAGATACTAGTTTCGAGCTTCAACTAAGAACACCGGCATCTTTTCCGCGGAACCACCATAGCTTATGGAGACACTGTTGCCGACGTCACGGAGGGCTTTGCATCTGAGGAAACGCATGAGGATGAGAAATTTCTAGGCCGCATCGACATTGATTCGACGCTGTTAAGCGAGAGGAAGGCTGCACTTCATGACATTTTAAGGGAGTTTCAATCTTGCTTCGCCTCTTCTTCAAAAGTCCGTCAAACACACCTTACGAAGCATCGCATCATTACCGACGATGATGACAGAACAAGATGCAGAACAAGATGCAGCGTTCACAGAGCTACGACAGAGAATGCAAACAGCCCCTGTTATTGCCTATTTAGAAGAGGATGCTGCAACAGAAATTCGCACTGATGCCAGCAACGTTGGACTTGGCACTGTCCTTGTACAACGACATGGTGGCGTTGAGCATGTAATAGATTACGCCAGTCGTACTCTTTCTCGAGCCGAGACCTACTATTCTACATCAGAAAAAGAATGCCTTGAAGTCGTGTGAGGGACGACCAAACTTCAGCCTTACCTCTACGGTCGTCCTTTCAAAGTGGTGACTGACCACCACTCGCTCCACTGGCTGGTCAATCTAAGAGATATATCTGGCCGTCTCACTCCGTGGCGTTTGCGTTTGCAGGGGTTCGACATTGCGATTGCGTGCAGGTCAGGGGGTGAAGATGGCTTTCTTGGAGCAGTTAGCGATTCCGAATTCATGTCAAGACAGCGGGCAGACGAAGAATTACGCCCAGTTATTGATTCCCTGGAAGGCTGGAACTCTAAGGTCCCTCAACACATTGCTCGTGAGCTGTCCTCTTTTTGTCTAAGAAGAGGCATTCTTTACAAGAAAAAGGCTCGTGGTAGTGATAAAACCTCCCTACCGACATGAGTGATGACATCCTCCTTGCGTGCCACGACGAACCCACGTCAGGACATTTGGGCTAGAGTGCCAGCGCTGGAAGACTCCACCTGGGAGACCAGCGAGCCTGCTCCAGCCGATCGCACCTCTGCGGGCACCATTTGACCTCTAGGGAATGGACCTTCTCAGACCCTTCCCTTTGTCGTCCTCCGAGAACAAATTGTTTATAGTTGCGGCAGATTATCTTACTCGTTAAGCTGAAGCAAAAGCGTTACCTTGTTGCACGGCCTCTGAAGTGACGAAGTTCTTAGTGCTCCAAATCATCCTACGGCATGGTACCCCGTCATGCGTGATTACGGACAGTGTGACGTCTTTTACAACGCGAATGATGGAGGACATTTTTAAATTGAGCTGCACAAGTCATCAAAAACGACGGCTTATTACCCGCAATCCAATGGACTGACAGCGAGGCTTAACAAGACCATAGCAGACATGCTGTCAATGTACGTGGACGTACTACACATAACCTGGGACGAGATTCTGCCATACATCACGTTTGCATACAATACGAGAACGCAAGAAAAAACGTGATTTCCGCCTTGTTAGCGGACGCAACGTGCGAACCAAGCTCGATGCTATGTTTCTGTGCAACCACAGCGATGAACTTGCTCCAGACGCTGAGCAATACACTCAGTACGCCGAAGAAGCTCGTCAGCTAGCTCGCATGAATGCCAGTCACCAACGAAATGCAGACGCATGGCGTTACAACCTCCGCCAACGAAACGTCACCTACCACCCTGGGGACCAAGTGTGGGTGTGGATCCCTGTACGGTAACCAGGCTTATCCGAAAAACTCCTAAGCCGTTGTTTTGGACCGTACAAGTTTCTTAGACGTGTCACTAACCTTACCTACGAGGTATTTCCGGATGGCGCAGTGTCTTCTCGTCGACAGCTTCGGCCCGAAATCGCGCATGTCGTTCGGCTGAAGCCCTACTTCACACAGTAGCCCTTGTCGTTTGACGTGTTACAACAGGCCGTGACTTTGCGTTGTCTGCTGTTTGCGTTCACCTGAGTGTTTAAGCCTTTTCTTTTTGCTCTTGGCGCAAGTGTTGGCGAAACTTGCTTACTTGTGCTGCGAGTACTGACATTGTCCCTCTTTTGCTTCCCTAGATCTGCGTGTGTATGCCTGCACTTTTTTTTTCTTTTTTTACGAGCATCGAGTCAATGCTTTCAAAGGCGGGGGAGGGGGGGGACTAGTGCCATATGGTCTGCTTGGGTGAGATCCTTGAGTGAAAGACAAAGACGATCTATCTAAGCTGCTGCTTGGCTAGTCAACTCAACGAGCCCACTAAACTTAAATCAAGTTTTTCGTCAGAAACGTGACACTATTGTTCTATTTACTTTTTCTTCACTTCCCCTCTCTTTTCCTTTCTCTCGTCTAACGCGTTGCTACGCGACGCACGATGACTTCATCGCTCGGCGGGGTTTTCTGCAAACACTCAACAGCGTACATCCAGCTTTCAAGAGCTTCGCTATTAAAACAAGCTTTACTGTAATCTATATGGTGTGTTCAGAATGAGTGCACATGTTTTTCTCGAAATTTTTCTTACAGGAAAGACATCGGAATTGAGATGTACGATGGCCTCATCATACGCGACATGGTGATCAGGACTCGGCGTCTGGGTGAGTGCATGGTGCAAGGTCACCCGGAACTATTGCTAAACTTATTCGACCTGGTGTGTTTTGCCAAATCCGAAATTTGGTTTAACTCTGTAGACTCTTCGAGGAATAAGGAAGGGGAAAGCCAGTGTGATTTCCGTTAACCACGAGAAGGAGTGCATAAACTATGCCTAACATCTAGACTGCCTTGTTAAGCGGAAGAAGTCAATTACGTACGTCTTTGTGGTGGCAAACATTGCCTTCATATAGTTAGTGCTTCGAGCATAACTCCAAGTTTTTTTTTATTATCGGGTTCAAATATAAGTACCCTTGAAATAAAGGAATACTGTGGAAGCTGTTCTTGAATATGCTTACCGAGTAGTTTTTTGTTCTTTTAAGTAAGCGTGATTAGCTCACAGTCGCAAATAAACTTCGCGGATCAGCATTTTTTTTACTAACTGTGTATTTATCAATGTTACTTGTTCAGAAAACCTACATCTGCCGAAACCGAATTTGTCGTATCTTAAGCAGTCGCAAACTTCAAATGCCTTTCACCAGGTTTCAATGCAAATTTTAGGGATATGCTGGATGTCGCAAGCCGCCGTTAGTCGTTCTTTACCGCAATATGTTCAGTTCAATTTGATTTGTTATTAAACTGATAAAAATTATATTTTGCATGTTGGTAAATGAGTCTTACTACCGCAGTACCGGCACAAATGTGGAGAGAATGTAGCAGTGGTTATCTAGTGCAAGGAAGTTTGAGGAAAACAATCTCCTCCACGATTCGCGTGGGCCGTACTAGCACGTCAAATCTTGGGGACCATAGAAAAACGCATGAATGCCACAGGCTCCGGGGATTCCACGCCCCAGCGGCCATGCTATCGGCATTCGCCGACCACTGGTGATAATGACTTGCGAAATGATGTGGACTGAACGGCCTTCTTTTACTATACGCATGCCGTACATTCACAGGCTCGCCAAACAATGGTGAAAGGCCGGACAGGTGGTCCCTGGACGTAGGTCTGTTCCTTGAAGTTGCATTTAGCGGAAAGCTGCAGCTCTTGCTCAGTTTGGTGCTGGACGATCGCCTGACCGTGAAGAAGAACATAACGGTGTCCGCGAACAACCAATTCGCCGCGCACTACCGATTCCGGCTACGTATACCGGAGGCAAGTTTCCCTCGTGTTGTCCCCCAAGTCTGCGCAGAACGTTATGGTTATGCATGAAGTCACGCTCACGCTCAAGCTATAAACTATGTAGCCTCTTACCTGCTACATCCTTTTTTTCTTCCGAAGTAGAGATTTAAGCTTCGTTAATTGAGTGAAGTAAACGTTCATGCCGATTCGCAAGCACTATCAAGACATAAAGCGTATGAAGCACGACAACTGTGCCTACAGAAATTGGAAAGCACGAAACCTTGTGTAACTTGCTTGCTTCTCGCAGGACAGAGCGTATATTTAGGCGACTTCTGTAGCCCGTATTTCTGAAAATGGAAGCTTATCGTTCTTCGTATGAAATTACATTCTGTACGACGAGTGATGCAAGCGCAAATTGTTAAGTTTAAACTGAAGTTAACCTGGGAAACCACGCTTACAGAATTAATAGCAGCTATTCAGCACGTATCAAGGTTCCAAGGCCAATATTGTGTAACCAGTCACATTTTAGTCCTATTTATGAATGAATGAATGAATGAATGAATGAATGAATGAATGGATAAATGAATGGATGAATGAATTGATGAATGAATGAATGAATGGATGAATGAATGGATGAATGAATTGATGAATAAATGAATGAATGAAATATTTGTTTGTATGGGCGCATCTTGAACGCTTAACAATTTCAGAGCCTCCCCATTGAGCCGTGGTGGCCCAATGGCTATGGTGGACACCAGTTGTACGCGCTGACCGTCTCCTTGTTTCTGGGTAAAGAAATGGCCGCCATAACGAGGAGCGTAGGGTTTCGTACAGTGGAGCTCATACAGGAGCCGCTCGTCAATAGTACGGGTAAGTGGATAACGAGCCGTGAAGCACCAACTACGCACTTTCGACGACATGATACAATTGCATGCCCGTTATCGATGAGATAATTAGGTGTTACGATTATGACAATGACGGCAATAGTGATCGCTGCGGATTTGCTGTAGTCGTACGCTGTAGGTAATGGGTATAGCACTCCAAGCAAGGAGCGCATGCGCGCACTAAGCTGAAACTGCTGTGAGATCCATTCGATCGCGAAGGACGGGAGAATTAGTTGGAGTGTTATTGGTGCGACTCACGCTTGAAACTTAGAATAACAACGCTCATCTATTTGGTGGGGAGCCATGTTCATAGACAAGGAGTGCAAGCACAAGAGAGAAGTTTCTGCCATGTGTCCTTGTTTGGACGCCTGGTCTTCTAAAATCAAATTACTCGAGAGGGTCGAAGCTCCAGAGTAATGAAAAAAGCAGATATGTCATTTCTTTGCTTCCTTGTTTTCGTTATAGTGCCTGCGGTTCATGACCTTACTGTGCGAAAAGTTGAGAGGAGGAGAGTTAAATATAACACTTTAAAGCATACTGGGTCATAACAAGCATAGAACACATCAAGTAGAAAAGTACGCAAACAGCAGCGACTAATAACATCGTTGTGTGAATCTTGCGTAAATATATAGAGCAAGGGAACATGCAATAAGGTTACTGGTAGAACAATGTATTGAACATAATGAACACTTAATTATAAACGCAGACGTGAAGTTATGAAACGGAGAAGGGAACACTTAATTAGGCAAAACGGTTACCACCGGGAACAGCATGGTTTCTTAGTAGGAAATTTACAGGATTGGTTTAATTAGTGTGAAAAAAAAACAACGTCGTTGGAAGTTGTTCTTGCAATGTACTTATGTACTGATTCCATCAATTCCATTTCCGCATTGTTTACGGAACACATATTGGCGGTTCCCTTTAGAGGCATACCGCGGAAGCCTTATTCGGAAATCCAGTCTGTGGGGCATATTCTTACCGGACTTCTTCCAGAAGCCAATAGTCAAACCTATGGCAACGCAAAGTCAGGCAATCCAAGCTTTTCCTGAAAAACGAACACTCATATTTTCAGTGTTTCCGGGGAATTTATTCTCGTGGTGTCCTATTCCGGGACATGTCTATAATTCGGCCTCCCCTCATTGGCCGGAGCACACCGCCTGTTTCTTCGGTCGTTCTTCCGCAACGTCATTTTGACGCCACGCAGCTTTCACCACTCTCGACGCAAATCAGAAAGGCAAAATGCGTTTCGCCACTACAAATGCTGTCCCCAGAGATCCGCTTTTAGACGCACGTCTCTGAGGCCATGCATATACTCATTCACGTTAGTCCTTGAATCAGGTTTGACGCGGCCGCCCGCATGACGCCCCTGAAAAGTATGTGCGCATTCCCTGCATCGCTCCTCAGACATCTCAACTCGTTCATACGCACGTGTAGACTTGTCAAGTTTGTTACTCCACATTTCGCCCACTTATTTTCTCTCTACGCCGAGAAAGTGCTGGAGGGTTCGGTGCGCTGACGCGGTCCAGCGTGTCATGACAGCACGACTCACCGTTATTTCGCTTAACTTAACGCGCTCCGGCGAATAAGACATTCCCACGAGTTGGACACCGCGAGGATATCTCCCAGGCCTACCGCTTGCCTTCATTGCTCAGTTACTGTTTGGCATGAGGTTAAGCAAACAAACACATAGGCTGAAGTGACTGCCATGCGCGCCTACGCTCTCAGGTGCGACTTTCTTCCTGCGCGTGAACGGGCTGCCGCTGTTCGCCAAGGGCAGCGCGTGGCTGCCGGCCGACGCATTCCCGGACCGCGTGACCAGCGAGCGACTGGAGGCCCTGCTCGACGCCGCCGTGGCGGCGCACATGAACCTCCTGCGCGTCTGGGGCGGCGGCCTGTACGAGTCGGACGTGTTCTACGAGATGGCCGACCGCAAGGGACTCATGATCTGGCAAGAGTTCGCCTTCGCCAGCGCCCTCTATCCCGCCACGCCGGCTTTCCTCGATTCCGTGGCCCTCGAGGCGCGGCAGCAGGTTAGTGCCTGTTCACGCTTTGGCGGCATTGACTTTCTTGGAAAGATAGTGATTTGAATTGCGCTTGCTAGCACGTCATTCACCAGTGGAGTCATGACTCTATAACTGTACTATATGCATATGAAATGGACGTCGAAATACATTCACTGGGTGGGTACCTGGTTGGGTACCTAACCCACTTAGTTTGGTATACGTGCAACAATGTCTGTTGTGGAAGTGCAACGTCTGTCATCCAATAGTTGTATACAATAACTGTGTCGGTTAATTCCTTTTCCGCAATCGTGTAGAAAAGTGCACAATGAGGTCGGCTTATTTCTCTTTTTTTCTTTTCCATGTCTTTGTTGCTCTGTCAGCCAGCAGTTCTCGTTGCATCGAACTTATTTTTGACGGTAATTTTAGCATGACCCTGGCATCTATTTCGATTCTGTACCTCCTTTCTACATGCGCAATCCAAGAGGCGCGAATAAGCGATTAGAAAGGCTTACTTATCATAGTTATTGAAAATGAGCCAAATGGAGAGAAACATTACGACGGCATACACGAGCCCTTCCTCTTGTGCTTGCGTGTAACTGTGAGGTAATTTGTAGTAAAAATTCCAGAGTCCAGGAAGAATGACAGAAGAGGGCATCTCACAGCTTGAGCGCGTGTAACACTGTCGTATTTATTTCGCTCTAAATTGCATGCAAAATGCAATACCAACCAGCCCGCCCATCCATCTGGCTGCAAAGCCCTTTAACCGGGCATAAAAAGGTGCTCGTAAAGTGGCCGGAGGGCAATTTGGTCAGTGTTTTCGGACATACTGTTTGCCTTTAGTGTTCAACCTCTGTTATAGGGATAAAATAAACGCCAGCGTTGTGCTGACTAAATTATAGAATTTTCTCGTTTTGCCCCGCCGCGGTGGTCTAGTGGCTAAGGTACTCGGCTGCTGATCCGCAGGTCGCGGGGTCGAATCCCGGCTGTGGCGGCTGCATTTCCGATGGAGGCGGAAATGTTGTAAACCCGTGTCCTCAGATTTGGGTGCACGTTAAAGAACCCCAGATGGTCGAAATTTCTGGAGCCCTCCAATACGGCGTCTCTCATAATCATGTGGTGGTTTTGGGACTATAAACCCCACATATCGATCAATCAATTTTCTCGTTAGGTTTTTGTTTAGTCGAATAACGATAGGATGAGTTCCTCCACAAAATATGAAAGAGCCTGAAGGGGTGTGATAAAAAGGCGGAAAAGTGATAAGCTACGGTGGAGGCTTGCTGGGTAGTAGAAGCGTGGCGCTGGCCTGTCCAGGTTACCGGAAGTGAGTGCCGCCATGTTTGATAGACAGCTTCCGTTCTTTTAGTCATGTCCGCTGCCAGCCGCGAAACGCGGACTTAGGCAAACAACGCTAGTGACTGATATGGAAGTACGATAGGTTCTGAGGACAAAGCAAAGTCGCGAGTTTTATGAACAAGTGCACCGATAGCTCGTAGAAAAAAAGAATGTGAATAAAAAAATGGTTTATGTTCCGCGACAGCTATGTTCCGATATTGGAGACCGTTTGAGCACGTTGGCGTAAATACTTTTCTCTTTTGTTCAAGTTTAGCCTTGACGGTGTGTCAACACCAGACAAGAAAAAGTTTGTTGAAAGTTTAGAGAACTGGAAAGTATCACCAAAACTTTCTCTCGCGACGCCGTACCCTCTGCCACCATAAACAACATCGATGAAAGATGTTTTCAGAAACAACTGGTACCCAGCAATTACTCTACTGACAGAGTCAAAACGTGGTTCAAACCGAAATGCTTTTCTGAAACGAACATAGCGTTGAAGGTCGTCGTAATCATCGCATTGTTGCCTATCGGGGGTCTTAGTTATTTACTATTATCATAGTAACGCAAGAGGTGAGCTTTACAAATCTTGTAAATGTATTTATCTCAGCCTATGTTTGACTTCTCATGACTTTTTACGTATATAAGGCTGACTGTTTATAGCGATAAGTACTGATGATGATGATAATGATGATGTGTTGTGTTTCAAGGCTCAACGGCTATTTGATGGCCAAAGAGCGCCAGGTCAATGGACAAGCGATGCGAGCAATGATTATCATAGGTGGCTGTAAAAAGGCCTTAAAATTTCTTGCCCTAACGCGGGTAAAAACATAAAGCATTAAAATCATGACATTGACGGGAATTATGTGCAATTAGAGTGAATGGCGAAACGTCGTGATATAGTAAACAATAATGGTGATGTAGCCATCACGGCAGCGACCTCTCTTCACAGGTCGTGCTACGGAGCGCCTGGGTAAATGATGCGAAAGTAGGTACGTCTGTTAAAAATGCCAGCAATGATTTATGTGTGAAAAGGGGTTTTCTACAGATGAACATTCATGGGTGCAAGGGTATCTGTTGTCGGAAGGGCAGTAAAAAGTGCGTTAAACACGATAGCTTTAGAGACCTCGTGTCGCAGAAATTCCGCCTTCAGTGTCGGCCCCGTTGGTTGTGAGCGAAAAATTGTCTGTGCGTATTTGACCAAAAAATCAAGTTACCGAGATCGCTGCGAGAGGCCGCTACTTGTCCACGCGTGCGCGCGCTATCACACTGAGAAAGCCGCGCTCTCGAAGAAGAAAAAAATTGCCCGCAGCTTCCCTCGGGGGAACACTGAGGAGGATGCGGAGCATATAATTGGTTAAAGGGGTGTTAAAGTGCGACTTACTTGGGTCGATGGCTAAATTGGTTAACGTGGTTGTGAAATGGGGTGTTAAATTGCGACTTACTTGGGTCGATGGCTAAATTGGTTAACGTGGTTGTAGGAGGGGGTGTTAAATGAGTGAACACGTACACACGTATGCGAAAGGGCGGCGCTGGTCGAAGGGACGTCGATCATTGTGTTTGTGGATTCGTTGGAATTCATTTCACCGCGACCTTGGACGTCAACGCGCCGTACAAACCAACCGACGAGCGGCAAGTGAGCGAGCGAGCGCCGACCTTGAGTATATATACAGCGCGACGGCGCATGCACTGTCAGCTGTTGAATGTTCTCGAAGCGCGACGCCACATGCGCGTCCACTGGAGAATCAGGAGAATTGTAGATGTCGAACGCGGTGTGTAGAGGAGGAAGGGTGCACAGATGGTGGAGGAGTGAAGCGCGCGCGGTGTGTAGAGGAGGAAGGGATGCACAGATGGTGGAAGAGTGGGCGACGGCGCGACGGCGCATGCGCGCGCGTCAGCTGTCAAATGTTCGAGAAGCGGTGCGGACGGCGCGGACGGCGCACTACAAGGCGCGAGTATAAGATGCTTCCGCATCTAAAAATTTGCCCCGGATCTGCATGTTACACTGCAAACGTCGTCGAAAGACGATAGTCTTTCGTCCGGAGAGAGTGAACAAAACAATTATTTAATGTTCTGTGCAAGAAAACCGGTGAGTGGTATTCTGGAGGCGCTGCGTTAGAGGGCCTCGAGCGTGCAGCGAAGGTGAACGAGTGCATCGAGGCACGTTAGACACGAGCGCCATCAGGCAGTTATCTTCGAAAACGAAGGAAGGCGCACGTGCGTGCCGGCGGAGAAAGATGCGTGCCATTCTCGGAGGCGATAAGGTGTAGAACGCAAAGCGACGGACAGGTGCCACCACCCTGTCGTTTTAGCAAAGCGTTGGTAACACTTGCCTTTTTGAGCATTGCGTTGCACTGTCAGCGGAGCGTTTTTAACGCTACGCTCCTTACAATTTTTTGTGTGTGTCTTGTCTAGTATAAAGGCACACATACAAAACATCGACGTGCTGTTACGGTGCCTCAGATATGCGCAATGATTGCTTTTTTTATTTGACAATCGCACAAGTATGAACGCTGAACCTTGAGCAATATTGGTGGGCGCTGCAGATGGGGTCGGCCGTTTTAGGTATCGTTAAGGGCAATCAAACAGACAAATGTACAGACAGACAGACAGACAGACAGACAGACAGACAGACAGACAGACAGACTAAAATTTTTTCGTCGAAGGTCCCCAAGAAAGACTATTGTCTTTAAAAACGTACTCAAGGTCACGAGGCGCGATAGTTTCTTTGCCCCAGCCACCCCTCCCTGCTTAGCTTCCAGTGCTTTCGTCGGGACTAGAGAAGAGATAATGCCATTGCAGCATGCGACAAACCTTTGTAACTCCAGTCGCACTAGACTTAAAAAAATTGCGGCGTTGAACTCGTGAGGCAATAAGCTCTTCTAGTGGCTTCATTTCATGGTTACCTCAAAAAGTGTTTCAAGGCCACTTTAGCACATTTCGTTCGACAAGTGTGACGACGAAAATTAGCCCATTCTGCGATTTGTAGGTGGAATCGGGAAGCCTCACTACGTCGAAAAAGGTCAGGATAGGGCAGCCATTGCCCCAAAAAACACACAGCAACTTTCAAACAGCTCTGAAAATGGATAACTATGTCATCTAGCGGAAAACATATTATGCCTTTCCAGAGGCGTTGACCAAGCAGGCAGCAAACGCTAGGTAATGTGCTGCTATCTGTGAGGCATTGTGAGAATCTTATGGCCTCCGAGATGGCGAGCGCGTGGCGTGCATTTTGGAGGCCAATGTGACTCTTGCTTTAGATCGAACACCTGTATGTACCATTCGCGCGCGCGCGCTGGTATGATCTACTGTGTGCGTGTGTGTATGTAACACAATATTTTTATAAGTATGCACTTAGCGGTTGAAGGGTGCAATAGGGGCCGGATTTCGCTATCGCGTTCAACTCTTAAAGGCGAAGGAAGCTTAAGGGTCCCCATTTTTTTTCTGAGGGCATCTAAATCACTGCACTGGACGAGGATGTGGAGAACCGTGAGTGGTTCTCCACATCTTTCACACAATGGTGCGTCGCCACCAGACGAAAGGTATGAATGTGTCGAGTGTGTGTGTCCTATCTGTAGTCTTGTAAGTGTGACTTGTGTGTAGCGTGATCTGGATGCCGTTGGCCAATTTCCAATTGTCGGGTTGACAAAATGCAGTTTGTTTTCTGTCTGCCTATCCCATAGGCGCTGGCAGCATTCCCAGAGCTTCTGTCGTAGGAAAGCTTTTAGGTCAAGTGCAGGGACAGCTACCGATGTATTAGCGGCAGCGTCGTCTTAAGCAGAGACGGCTAACTGATCCGCCAACACGTTTCTAGCGATTTCGCGGTGCCCTGGCACCCAGAACACATGTCGTTTGAGAGCATAGAGCTTGCATAAAAAAAGAGGACAGTGACACAAGGACAGGATTTTTATGTTTACGCAGAGTTTTCAAAGCCGTTACTACGCTCAGACAATCTGTGTATATTACCGCGCGTTGTAGTTGCAGTTCCTTAATATGCTTCATGGCCACAGATACCGCGTGAGCCTCTGCCGTGAAGATGCTTCTTTCGGAGTGCAGAATACCGAAGTTAGAGATGGATGGGCTAACGGCTGCATAGGACACACCAGTGTGAGACTTTGAAGCATCTGCGAAAAATTCTGAGCAAATGCACTTGTGTCGGAGTTCGAGGAAGTGTGTGCGGATATGAGCAGTAGGTGCGTGTTTAGCGGCTTCCACAAAAATAGATCGCAGTCGATACCTTGCTACTTCCACGGTGGCTGATATACTGCTGGATATACATCATCGACATATGTGCAATAAAAAATATTGCGTGAGAGAGACAGGTGCAAGGAATTAATTTTGACCATGAAAAGTGTGAAACTTCCAAGTGGAGGGGATCTCACGAGAAAACCAAATGACACTCCTGTTTCTTGTTGCACACCTGTTTCATAGACAAATATTCGAAATTAGACAGTACCAACTCGGACACGGAATGTCCGGTTGGACAGGTAGCTTTAGATTATTGTGAACATTCTGCCCCACACACCTAAATGTGACAAGTCTCGGGGTATGTCAAAGCGCCACGTAGTGTTATAGGCCTTCTCTATATCGAGGAACACAGAAAGAAAATATTGCTTATGAACAAAAGCCTCGCAAATTCGTGCCACGATACTGACAAGGTGGTCAGTGGTGGACCGAGCTCTCGAAACCCACACTGGCATGGGTCAAGCAGACCGTTAGATTCAAAGAAGGGCATCAGGCGCCTGTTTACCCTTTTCTCAAAGACCTTGCAAAGGCAACTCGTCAATGCTACGGGCCTGTAACTTAATGCTGAACATGGGTCCTTGCGCAGTTAAAGAATCGGAATAATGACTGCTTCTTTTCAAGTGGAGGGGATCTCACGGGAAAACCAAATGGCATTACACAAAGAGTAGAGAGCTTTTTGGGTTTCAGGAAGTAGACGGTTGAGCATTTCGTATAAAATATGGTCGGCGAGCCCCGCTGACCTACACTACGGCGTCTCTCATAATCATATGGTGGTTTTGGGACGTTAAACCCGACATATCATCAAGTCAAGGCCGATAGGAACTTTACACGATCGTCGCCACAACTATTTTCGAGCGCGGGTTGAAGGCGGGTACGTTTACGCCTACATCCGCTCACAAATGTTTCTGGAACGTCGGCTTCACTGAAAACGGGAATTTTTGCTCCGTTACTTTAAGGTGCCTCTAACCCAGCCACTAGCCAGATAGGTCACCGGTGCTACTACAGGCTATAACATGTATTCGAAGGCTATGTTGTTGGACAGCGGGAATAGAGCGTTGTCGGGAATTTCATGTCCTGCGAACATTTTTGGGCGCTATAGGGTAGGTTTGTGCGTGAGCTTGTACATGCGCGTGGTTGTATGCTCTTGTAAAATTGAAAAAAAAACCAGGAGAGTTTCATTTCTTCTAGATCCTTCCCACCTGACTACCCAATCTCACTTGCAAAAAAAAAAAAAAATCAGCTGGAGGTATCTAAGATGACTGAACGTCACTATACGCATTTATTATGAAGTTATTTACATGCTTGTACGCTATTTACTTCAACTTACATTGTCGGTATAGCGAACAACAAGAAAGAAACTGTTTGTATTATTGTCACATGTTAAGTTTTGCTCACACCTCTGATATTAGTGCAGCAAGTTTAATTAGATCTCATGGCGTTTGCAGGTGCGCCGTCTGGGTCACCACGCCAGTCTTGTTCTCTGGTGCGGAAACAGCGAGAACGAACTCGGCTTGGCTTACAACTGGTGGAAGTGAGTGGGAGAGTGTCAGCACGTGTACCACTTGGCTCAAAGTCGAGGCAAATTGCGCAGTGAAAATGCCACTTCCACGTTTGCGGCCTTGACAAACATGCCGAGTTTGAAATCAGGCAGAACAAAAATAGGATAATTCAATCAACATGACAATTATATTCCTGGTAATATGCTGCGCAGTTTGTTTCGCTACACCAAAGATGATTTTCACTGCGTGGGTAGCAGCTTGAACAACTTTAAGAATTTTCGATAAAAGAAGTTTTCTTGACACAAAGCAATAAGCGCCAAAAATATATTGGTTAAGCGCTCATCGTTTACTCTTGAACTTGGTTGTTTATTCTTATGCGAATGTATTACGGTGCTGCTACTCGTCGTTTCAATGCGTCATCTTGCCGGGAAGACAGCCGGGCCTCGAAGAGACACTTGATACAAGGAGACTTTGATGGCCTAGACATCATTCGGTGACCCCTCGTTGAGAAACATGGAGTCATGTGAACTTCTCACACTCTCAATGCCCTGTGCATTCATCCTGGAAACATCCCTCGCATACCGACAGAGGTGCGAAATGCCTAAATGCGCAACATAGATGGAAAGTGCTACCAGAAACTACTCATCAGTCTGTGTGCTTTGAACTGTGGCGAGATGATGACTAATAAGCGCTAATGATAAGGTTGAACATTTGTCTTGTTAGTATAGCGGGGCTGTATTTTGTATATTGCAGCGCAACTGCCTCCCCCTGTTTCTCCGCCCCCCCCCAAAAAAAAAAATGTTCACTCGCGACATAGTGCTCGCTCTGTTATCTGTGAGCCCTTCTGGTGTGCCGGGAAATCTTTGTGTTATATAAACTATAGATATTCTAATGATACGTGAATTTCGAGAATTAACAACAACCTCCTAAAAAGCACAATGTGGCGGCAGCTGTAAACTTGAACATATTTGCATATGTAATCACGTGCCTTGCAAAAGTTTTTTGCAGCTCAACTCTAAACTACGCTTTTGAAGTGTAAAGTGGGACACACAACGTTTGTGTTGGTGCATGTTTCTGTTCACTTACTCTCGAGTTGTCACGCCTTTATTTTTCGACGATGAAGTGAAGCTCAGTAACGTCGAATTACTTCACACACTTGGGCTACTTCCCTGTCAGACACCAATGTCGCTCAAGGTGCCGTGGAAAATTGTCACGCTACCATGACGCAATGCATGACGTCGATAGCGTAGACACTTAGTCATTGTTTCTTGAAGTGTGCGGGTCTCAATATATATTAAAAGCGCCGCAATGGGTGCAAAAAGTTTTTATCCGGTTCTTTGACTAGAGAGGGAAGGAAATGAATTAGTTTTTCTATAACGTCGGATTAGTTTTTCTATAACGTCGTTTCTCGCTCCAGATCAAACTCGATAAAGACACAGAAAGATGAAACGTGGGCAAGCACGAACGTCCGCGCAAGTTTCATGTTTCCTTGTCTCTGTGAACTTTGATGAAGCGTAAAAAACGTCGTTACAAACGAGAGACATGAACTAGTTTAAAAATATGCCCTGCTATAGCGAGCGACATAGAGAGGAGACGGAAAAAGAAGGAAAGAGCGTCGCACTGTAGTGATAAGTTGGAGCGGCTTACTTTCGCAAGGCCAGATGCACGGTTTCCCGAAAGCACCCATTATGAGGTCCAGTGTTTTCGAAAGAGTTGGCTAACTCTTTCAAAGTACAGTTCGAGTCCCACTGCGCCACGACCGCTATATCAGTGGCCATGGAAGACTCGGGAGGGTAATGCCGCCTGCAAACAGTGCCCAGGGGACTCCTCTGTCTTCCTTTTCTGTTAAATGCGTAGCTGCTTGCGCACGAAATCATATGACGCGTGTAGACCCAGTGATGTACGTTTTTTTTTCGTCTTTCCTTTTTCAAGTGGCACTGCTTTCGCCTAACGGCCGTTTGCTCTTCGTAAACAATCAGACAGACGTGTGAAGAAAAACTTGGGGAAATCGTCTCAGAAAACTTTGTCGAGGTGTCGTAATGCTTTTACTAGTGCTGAGGTGAATAGCATTGATTTAAGAGAAGCAAAAAAAAAAATATTGCACCGAAGCTGCTCGAAAGCGACAATGTTTTGTGTGGTGGGCATGGATAAGCAACAGCAAACATCGCTTCGGAGCGATTATCGTTCTATTTCAAAAACCATGGTAAGGACAAGTAAGGTGAGGTTTCGTCGTCGCCGCGATGCCAATTTTAACGTGATAAGGTTTTAAGGGGCCTTCTTCTCTAACGCTTAAAATTTATTTTAAACTGGTGGTTGTATACGTGCGCGATGCTCTGTATTTCGTGTCCCAAATTTAGTTTGGTCGTGCATTTTTCTTTTTGAAGCACGACACACCATATTCGCATTGCTTTTGCACGGCTGCATGCTTTCATGCTGTTTTTTTTTACAACGAAACGGGGGAAATCTTACCTCACACCTCTCTGTAGTGATAAGAACATTTCACTATATCAATTTTTTTCGGGGGGGGGGGGGGGGGGGTTGGCTGGACAGAGAGAGCTAGTAAATGCTGGACACTGTTCCTTTCGGTTTAATTTTTTCCCTACGCATGCAACGAATTTCAATGTGATTCGACACGCTTATAAGTGCAGATGCTTGAACCTTGATGTTTCGCTCACTAGATATAGCGAACAGCATTGGGGGTGGTGGTAGTGGTTAGAAGATGAGAAAAGGCACCTAATTTCTGCAACCCGGTCGGGAGCACGGCGCAGTGCCTACAGCATCGGTACTGTGATGGGCTTGCCCCATTTCCTTTCCCCATTGCCCTCCTTCTCAAATGACTGCCGCAGGCTTCTTACGACAGAGCACCGCGATGACTATGTCAAGCTGTACGTGGAAACATTGCAAAAGATTGTCTACGAGGATGACATGTCGCGACCTTTCGTGGGTTCGACTCCTTCCAACGGTCTGCTCTCGGAACTGAGCGGGGGCATTCACGACAACCCGAACGACGTACTCTACGGCGATGGTACGCATACCTTGTTGAAGAAGCATTAAGTGCAAACACATACTCCAGGTTCCTGCTGTGGAGCAGAAACCTGGACGCCTAGAGTGTTCACCGTGAATTAAGAACGATGCAACGAGTGATTGAAAAAATATATATATAGGTGTAACATTAAAGAACACCAAGGGGAACAATGACTGGGTTTAGAGGAAGAAATTCCACTCGGAGAACATTAATGCCATATGTTTCACTGAATGTTCATTGTTAGTGGACAATACAAGGTTGAAGCTTTGTTTTCAAATTTTGTGCGAATATCTCCAAGCGTGACGCAAATAATTTCGGAATGTACTTTCGGTATTTTCGTCACATTGGCTCAATGAAATGTTCTGAAATTTTGTATCCTAAATCTATTGAAACCACAGATTGCAATGCACTGTATTTTTATTGGTTGGAAAATACGTAGAAGCCAGTAGGCGCCTTCAAAGTTTACTACGTCAAATACAAGGTAGCGTTGCCACCCTAATTTTCTTTTCACGCGTTTTCACGCAGACTAAGCGTCTATGGGTGGTAAAAATGGTGGTTTCGGGATCGTGAAATTATACAAAAAAAATGTTTTGCTCTTTAGTGTTCCTTTACGAGACGAGAAAGACAGGGTGATTTGATGGGCAAAGGCAGGGAGTTAACCGAAAACCACATATCTCGTTGGCTACCCTGCACTAGGGAAATGTTGATTTGTGGGGTTTAACGTCCCAAAACCACCATATGATTATGAGAGACGCCGTAGTGGAGGGCTCTGGAAATTTAGACCACCTGGGGTTCTTTAACGTGCACCCAAATCTGAGCACACGGGCCTACAACATTTCCGCCTCCATCGGAAATGCAGCCGCCGCAGCCGGGATTCGAACCCGTGACCTGCGGGTCAGCAGCCGAGTACCTTAGCCACTAGACCACCGCGGCGGGGCACTAGGGAAATGTCAAGAAGACAAAAGAGAGCAGACTTGGCCAGGGAACTAACGGGGGTTAAAGATATCATAGTTCATATCAAGAAGTTGACATGGGCTGGGCACGAAGCATGTCAATCGGATAACCGCTAGCCAATAAGGGTTGCTGACTGGATTCCAAGAGAAGGCAAGGTTGTGAGGGGGAGACAAAATATTAGGTGGGAAGATGAGCTTAAGAAGGTTGCAGGTATACAGCGAGGCGGCAGAAAACATAGGACCGGATTTTTTGACGGAACATAACAGAGGCCTTTGCCCTGCAGGGGGCGTAGTCAGGATGATGATGGCGATGGTGAAGTACAAACGCTAGCTGCGCTCAGACTTTCAAAGTACCGTTTGACATAGTTTGATGGTATAAGGCTGATTGTGAAGACAAAAAAGGGGAAGTCCAAAGTAGAATTTCGTGCCACCACGCACATACCAAGGTGGCTTAGTAGCTATGGTTTAACGCTGAAACCACGTGAGCGAGGATTCGATTCCCAACCATGATAGCTTCTTTTCGACGAGGGCGAAAAGTAAAAACACCTGTGTACTTGGAATTAAGCTCACGTTAAAGGGACACTAAAGGCAAATATGAAATAGCGGTCCCGTAAACTAGTATTGGTATTTTGTGCAAAAGAATCGCTTATTTTGAAAAATAAAAATCACGTTTTAGTGATCTGCATTGCGTTCGACCACTTCAAATCACCGACGCGTGAAGGCGGATGTCATTGTTTCGGTGCCCAACGTGCCCCGCCTTTACTATGCGGCCGCCGACACCAGTAGCAGCAGAGCGAAAGCAGCGGGATCCACAGTAGCAACAACCATTGGTAACAACGACCACTGAACCATTTTCTGAAATCTCGGTGACCCTGATTCTGCCTAATTAATTCAACTGAGCCCCGCTAGATGGGACCACCTATCCAGCCTAACCAGTCAAAAACTTGATTTTTTGGACTGCTCGCGTTATTCTCTATAATAACGCCAGGTGGTTCTTTCATCTAAGTCGAACAGAAACAGACAAACAGCATTTTATTTCATCTAAAGACACACAGAAAGTTTTTTTTATTGTAGCTAGTTTCATTACTAGGAAATAATTGTAGGCTCTTGGTAAGACACTGCTGTTGATAATATTGCCGTTTTAGACGTTGTAATACATTGAGCTTTCATTTTGACATAAATTGTCTTTTGCCTTTAGTGTCCCTTTAAGGTGAAAATTATTCTGGGGACACATTGTGCGGTATGCCTCATAATCGTGTCGTTCTTGGCGCGTAAAAAATTGGCGTTTAATTTTAATAAATAGCACATATAGTTCACTGACTAAAGGTAGGCAAAAGTGCTTTTATTTATTGTATTGTCCCGTAATGTTGTCTAGCGTATGTGTAGTGGCATCATTATTTTTTATTTTTTTTTTTGCTGGTGTGCTACGCCATCTACACTTGCATTACTTTGGCATCTGATCCCACCTGCAACTATGGCACCACGTGGCGGGGTGCGTATGTTAGCCTTTAGCACGGTTTCACATAATCTTCTGAAACAAATCTTGTAGAAGCGCTACAAATATGCGCCCTCCCTGCCATGCTTCATCTTGTCTTCTTTACCTCTTTGTTCTTCTCTGCGTTTATTTGTATAGCATATAACAATTTTCGTGTGACACTCGTCTGTGTAGGCTCTTCGGTTCTTTCTCTTGACCTCTGACTATTTCATTTGCTCACGGCTGATTGGCAGTGCACTACTTTGACTACTACTCTCCCCCCTGGAGCCTGGACGCCGTGACGACACCTCGTTTCTGTTCAAGCTTCGGTCTCGTCTCGTTCCCTTCGATGGAGACGCTGTCCACCGCCCTGGAACCCGGAGACTTGACGCTGCCTTTCCCGCAAGCGCTCGAGAACAGGATGCACTTAGGTTGGTGGGCTAGCAAACAGCATCACAATGCTACGTTTGATTTTTTTTTGTGTGTGGACAGAGCAGTCTCGGACAAGGTATGCATAATATCAGTACGTAATTATTAAAATTACGACTAGACATCCCAAATATACGCCCGCACTATTGAAGATGCCCAATACAAAAAATGGCACAAAACACTGCATTATATTTACTATTTGTGGTCCTTCAACGAAAAAGATAGCAGATCTGTACAAAAAAAAATATAGTGGAGAGTGTAGGGTTAGATTTTTGCAAAAGTAACCTACATGTGTAGCTTGTACAAGGTATATAAACGAAGTACATAAAACTGCGATCTTATACTTGGAATCGAGAGAACATAGGTACCGTAATCATGAAAGCATATCGCGCGAGAATTGTTCGTAAATTATTTTCCCACAATCACGACCGCGGGCCAGATGGTAAATGAGAATGAGATCTCAAGAAGTACAAAAGAGCGACATTGGGAATCTGGCCTATGGTGTGTAAATACTATACCTTTATGGATGAGGTTACTTGTACTGGTGATTTAAACCCTGTAATAGGTGTTCTTTTAAACCCTGTAATCGGTGATTTACACCCTGTAAGCAGCGGAAGGAGGATATAGTGGCATTGAATATTTACGTAGGAATATTGAGAACTCTACAGAAAGAAAACACCAACATCGTTATGTACGCATTTGTAATCAAATGTTGTTAAGAGAGGGTTGGAACTAACAGCCTCGAGTGAATTGATTCGGTTGCAGCGAAGCTCAGACGATGTGCTGGCAGTGTACTGACGTAGAGAAAAATGTACCTTGAGAAATAATTTGCAAGGAGTCGTTGTTGTTTGAAGACTCTGGCGGCATTACAGAGAAACACCTTTCAACCTTTTCTGGATCTTTATGTATTCATGCATTTAGCCTAGTGATGTGCACTATACTACGGTTTCAAACGTGGTATTTCAGAAGTACGCAACGGTTGTACTTTGGTTTTTAGCGTCTACAGTTACTGCCACAGCATAACTTCAAGGCGAACACCTGAACGAGAATCAATGCTATCTTTAGCAGCTGCAGATTCTTTTTGACGCATAACTTGGTTATCTCGATCGAGTTCGTATACCAGTCGTTATATCGTCCTAATTAATGAGTACCGTAAAAAGAGTAAAGTACACTGAATTAATGATAGTGTAAAATGTACTATGCTTTAGGGGGTATACGCTCTTATAGACTCTTGGACTTTGCGTAATGTGCCTCGAAGCATGATCAGGAATTAGGACGCGCTCGTGTTACGCGGCTTAATGAAATATTCTACCATTTCTTCGAGGGTTTTCGAAGAAGCGAGCCACACGTCCATATTGTGAATGTTAAAATGATGAGCCACTTAGGAGGCTACATTTTGCGAAGAAGCGTGAAAGCAGAACACACAAGAAACACGACACAATATCCCTTCGCTCTCCTGCGTGGGAGAATGCAGCGTTACACAATAAGCCTCGTATCTAGCGTCTTTGATTTTGATATTTGTTTTGACGTTTTTATCATTACGATTGTGAGCGCTGTCAAAATCAAAGGTACTGTGTCGTGTGTTGAGGAATTTGTTAATGGACTGTTTTGATTGTAGTTATAGCGTGCGTGGCTTTCTTGGTACTCAAAAAAAAAAAATCACGGCTTATCTACGATGTAAAGTGGGATTGTTCGGTGTTATACCCCTGTCACACGTAGCAACTTAAGTGCACTTTGAGCGAGTACACTTAGCCGCGAGTGTCATTTGCGCGCTGTCACACGAGCAAGTTTAGTGTCACTCGCTGCGAAGTACGCTTGCCGGCATGTGCGTTCCCCAACTTCACTTCGCTGTGACGGCTGCGATGAAGTGTGTATATATCCTCGGTACCAGTGGCTTGTACAGAAAGACGCTGTTTCCTAAAGCCATGCTCCTAATATGTTCAAACGATTGTTTTTGTTTTGATGGATATTGTTATGTATAAAACAAGTCATGAAATACAACAACAACCTTGCTACTTTCATCGTCGGGCTGTTTGCGGCCACGTCCGCTCGGCCGATGCGGCAGCACATGCACAGTAATGGCTGCGTCTGTCGCGTTGTTTACTTCTAGGTACACTTGCCCGTGTGTAGGCGAGTTGCTCTTTTGTCATTATGTAAGATATAGTGTTCCACAGGTGCTACTTCCATGAAGACAACGTGGTCCGAAGATGAGACACAGGTGAAAAAATAACAAATATACGTTGTGCTACAAATCCGTTGATTGCCACTGCCATCTTTTCCAAAGTACACTTCGCTTTCTCGTGAAGCAGCGAACCGCCAAAATGACACTTCGTGAGCGTAAGTACACTCGCTCAAAGTGCACTCAAGTTTCCACGTGTGACAGGGGTATTAACCGTAAATAACCTGTCAAATCGACCACACACGCATGTAAATGAGTGACAAAGTGGTGTACAGTTACACACAATGTTTATTGATCATGACTGCTTTGCCGTGTTCAGTTGAGAATTTCGTTTTGCCCTCATTATTAGTGCATTTCGGTATTGAATCTAGCCGGAAGTTGGCAAACACGAGGTCTGTGCACGTTCCCCTGTTAGTTGTTGGTTGTTTACAGTCATACGAAAAGAACCGTAAAGCATTTTGAGACGTCATATACTGCACTAGCGAGTCGTTCTGCGTGATAATCTGAGTCATCATCTTCACCGTCATCAGCGTCATCGTCATCGTCACTGTAGCGGCGGCTACGGCGCACAACGCCAACGGACAAGCCACGACCTTAAAGAGGTTCATCCCTATAAAAATGAAATGTAGCGCTCGCGCGCAAATGCCACGAATTTCCGAGACTGAGAGAAAGCCTTCGAAAATAACCTTCCCGTTCACATTGTCTTGCTTATACGAACCCTCAAGAGCCGTTCTCTCGTGGTTCAACAGCACTCAACGTGTTGGGTGTCATCCGCGCGCGTGCCTGGAGTGTTTGCGTAGCACTTTGGCGCTGGCGGCAGCTGATACGGGCGAGTTTTGCGTATATGTACATCGACGCGAAACGTTGAGCGGGTTTTCTTCGGGAGCTTTACCCGGTTGCTCGAGAGGTGCGTGTACTTGTAATGAATCCGGACGCTGCGTGGAAGCAGATATGCGCGTCATCCTCGAGTGCTTTTCCTCAGCTTCACTTGTAACTTGAATTCATCGACAGGCGGCGTGATATTTTGTACACGTGTTAACGAAATGAACATTCGTGTAAGTGCATGCTCACATTGTTTAACGGCTGTATCGCGGGACAGGCGGTAGTGAAGAGTTTTCGAAATATGCTACACTGCTTTTTCGACGGCTCGCAGTACACTTCACACACACGATCTGAACTCGGTTTCGTTTCTCTTTCGTGGAGAGGTGTTAACACTGAGAGCTTTGTTATATCCAAAGCGTTTGAGTAAGGTGTCCGAATATTTCACGAAGCTTAGCAGGTGCAGACATGGGAGTGCGTCTCCAAAAGCTGGCTGGCAGTATTGAGATGATGGCATCAGTACCTTTGCATTGGGTGCACGTTAAAGAACCCCAGGTGGTCGAAATTTCCGGAGCCCTCCACTACAGCGTCTCTCATATTCCTATGGTAGTTTTGGGACGTTAAACTTCGCATATCAATCAATCAATCAATCAATCAATCAATCAATCAATCAATCAATCAATCAATCAATCAATCAATCAATCAATCAATCGATCAATCAATCAATCAATCAATCAATCAATCAATCAATCAATGCCTTTGCATGTTTTCTGTTTTGAAAGTGAAGTTCGTATTCAACCCGATTCCGAATGCCTCGGTGCTGCTTTGGTTACGATGCTCGGCTGCTGACACGGAAGTCGTTGGGTCGACCCCGGCCACGGTGGTAGCGTTCCAAATCAGACGAAATTAACAATCGGCGGCGTCTGTGGATGTTAACAGATCGTGAATATTTTGGAGCCCTTCACTGCACGACATCCCTCATTATCATATGCTGTTCTCTGCACGTAAAAACGCCAGATGTTATTATCAATTCAAGTTTGACTTTGTAATGCTGAAGCTACAATTCTTGAGAAAACAGCGAAATCTGGACGCGTCCATCCGGATGCAACGAGTTGATTCAATGTTGAAGACCAACACGCAACGTTACATAAAATTTTTCACTGCGTGATTAAATTCGACGTGAGCATACCTTTCACCTCCTTGTAGTCGTTGGGGCGTTTGAGGAAAGCTTTTAAAGTTATTTCGACTTGCTTTCAGCTGTATGATCAAGTGGATAGCCATTCCAACTATCGGAATATTTTGCGCGCGTTTCTAATTCAATTTAAATGTTTCTTTGTGAGCTGGTTTTTCACTTCCGAGCCAGAGATGTTGTGCCATGGCCGCTGGTACATGAAACGTGCAGTCAGGGGTTTCGTTTGGACATGTTAACAATTTGTCAGTTCAAATTGCTTTCTTTCCGTGTCCCTAGCTATTGATTTATGGCGGGGGCTGTAGATTGGTAGACAACCTTGAAATCGTAGACTACCTTAAAATTTGGTCTTATCCAGCTTGAACATGCTCACTGAAAAACAATACAATCCCCCACTGACACCTCCAAGGTTCGAGAGTATGCCTCCTGAGATGTAATAAAATGATTCAAGAGAGATTATTTTCTTTCGCCATCATCGATGAAGACCCAGGTTACTTGCTTCAACTGCGCAATGAAGTATCTGCCAAAAAGTTTGCTGCCCCGTTCGCTAATCTTGAGCAAGAAATACTTTGATTTTAAGCGCCCATTCGAATGCACGATATAAACGAAAACTTGTTCAACTACGTCGTTGAAATCCTACACTAGGCGACACATGATGCCTCCATACTTATCTTTTATCACGCCCGGGGAACTTCTCATGTTATTTTCTTATCATGAAAGTTTTGTGGTGTTTGGAGAAAAGGTAACGCTTGTAAGACATTTAGTGTTCTGCACCGCGTTTTGCAGCATAGCTAGAGCGTGCGTGCCTGTTCATATTATGAATATTCGGTCCAGAAGCACTGAGGCCGCCACTTGAGCAGGTATAGATCCTGTTGTGAAGTAGACAGTATATAATGAAAACGCCATTGCCTGTGTCGGCATGTCGTGATCTTGCGTTGGCCAATAAAGTGTAAACGCGCGCATTTTGAACCCAGCGGAGGGTGTACACTATACGTGATCTTGCTTGCTTTTCGATTGTAACTCTGAGTTAATGATTGCGATGAATGATCTATTGCCCAGCTGACCGATGTCACTGCTTTTAAGACTGCTGTTGAAGGGGGTGCTTACTCTTGGCAGCTTTCTGCTCTTGTTTTTGTTATTACTGTGTATACTCTTACCAACCCCTTCTGTAACGCCTCCGGGCTCTGAAGGTACTGTAATAATAAATAAATAAATAAATAAATAAATAAATAAATAAATAAATAAATAAATAAATAAATAAATAAATAGATAAATAAATAAATAAATAAACTGCTTTCTAACCTTTGGTATTCTTTGTCCTTTCTCATAATGAAGCCAATGCCAGAGTGGAAACGTACATGTCGGCTGTTTTCACGCTTCCCAAAAAGGACGGAACCGACCAGGCCCTTAGGATCTTCATCTTTCTGTCTCAGGTACGTGGAGCTGATAGAAATCCCAGCACGTAGCATTGAGGCCTGCGGCTCACGTGACATAACGTCGCCTGCGAATAACTGCTGCAATAAAGGCAAAGTTTGGGACCATGGCTAGGTGGCATATTCACCAGAGCCGAGGTGGACGCCGGCATAATACACTTTCGTGTTAAAAAAGAGAAGTGACTTTGCATGTAATTAAGTTTTTGTCTAGAAGAATGACACCAGGTTTGGTTAAATTTGTTCATCAAAACTACCTCAAAACAATTGTAAGGGAGACATAATTCACAGAATCAACAAAGCCTAGAAAATCGTGTTTTTTTTGCTATTATCTGTCGATATCGTACGGCACTGACACTAGTATTTCCGACAGGCTTTCACAAATTGTTATGGGGACGTCATCTAGCAAAAGGCTAGTGCGTCTATGTCTGGGGACCACCAACCGGTCGAGTGACAACCTGCTACTTCACCACACACATAGAATGAAAGCTGTATCATTTCATCAGATGTTTTGTACCACTCCAGTTTTTAAAATGCATTTCTTAGCGAACTTCGGCGACTTTGAGCGTATCTATCTTTCTATTTATCTATTTAGCCGCTTACTTTTAGGTGCTCTCGTCGTCACCCTCTTAACTTGGCGTGAACCAAAATTGGCATGGGAGGGTAAGGTGGTTTGACAAATATGACGCACTGGTCAAGACAGGAATAATGTCACAATCCCGTAGCGTACGTCGTCGAACACTTCCCGCCAGACAGTGGCACATGCCCACGGACGGGTATGTGCCGCTGGTGTGCGGGTATGTGCCACAGGTGGTCGACAGTTAGTGTATACCCAGGTACGACGACACACATGGGCGATTTTAACGCGCGAGCGTTAAGAAATACCCGACATCGGTAGCGTCGACCCGACGAATGCGAAGAATAAGTGTCAGGGTCCCAGCTGGAATCGAACCAAAACATTCTGCGCGACAACAAAGCATTTTACCCCAGAGCTACGCCAGGCCTTGGAACTACTTTTCAAATAGACGCTGATCTTCGTGAAACGTTCATAGTGGTTGCAGTGCTGCCTACCCAATTTTATAAACATCACATATTGTCGCGGTGCAGCGCGAACCCAAGGCAGATGAACGTTGACACAGCGACTCTCAGCAGCGGAACAGCAACATCGCCTTCTTTATCTTCAATCAGCCAGAGCTCCACTACCCGGTGTCCGCCAAATCCCCTTATTGTCGTTTTGGTCCACCAGTACACACGCGTCATTTGCCCCCCCCCCCCCCTCCTAATGAGCATCGCCCCGATGCTAAACCAGTAGTGCAGTTTTTTTTGTCTGTTCTTTAAGAAGTGTCTTGCGCAGTCACTACCTTTCATAAGGCTTCATGCGCACAACGTGAACTAGTTCAGGAGGGTGCTGGCGAAGCCTCGTACTATATGAACTGTCGGGGACGACCTCGTAGGTAACATCACTCAGTCGTCGCAGTACTAGATATTGCCCAAAGTATCTCCTTAGGAGCTTTTCAGAGAGTCCTCGTTTTCGTATGGGCGTCCAAACCCATACTCTGTCGCCGGTCTGGTAAACGACTGTTCTGGGCGAGAATTGTAGCGGCTCGCGTCGTACTCTTGTTGTTGCTGGATTCGCAGGCGTGCTAGTTGCCTTGCTTCTTCCGCTCGTTCTGTAAACATCTCGGCGTCCGGTTCGATGTAGTCCCATTCGTGCGCTAGCATCGCATCTAACATGGTTCGTACTTCCCTTCCGTGAATTAGGCTGAACGGGGTCATCTGGGTTGTTTCTTGCTTGGCAGTGTTGTATGCAAACGTGATATATGGCAAGATTTCGTCCCAATTTTTGTGTTCGACGTCTACGTACATTGAAAGCATGTCTTCAATTGTTTTGCTCAGACGCTCTGTAAGCCCGTTCGTTTGCGTGTGGTAGGCGGTGGTCTTGCGATGGGTTGTTCCACTCAGCATGAGGACTTGTTCCAAAAGAGCTGCCGTAAATGCGGTTCCTCTGTCTGTGATTACGACGCTTGGTGCACCATGCCGCAGGACAACGTTCTCGATGAAAAATTGTGCCACCTCCGCTGCTGTACCTCTCTGGATAGCCTTTGTTTCAGCATAACGGGTAAGGTAATCAGTCGCGACAATAACCCAGCGGTTCCCAGCAGTAGAAGTAGGAAGTGGGCCCAAAATATCCATGCCAATCTGGTCGAATGGTGTTCTTGGGACCTGCACGGGCTGCAGGAGGCCAGCTGGTTTAGTCGGCGGTGACTTCCGTCGCTGGCAGTCGAGGCAAGTACGAACATGATGTTTTACGGCTACGGTCAGTCTTGGCCAGAAGTAGCGCTGCCGTACCCTGGCCAACGTTCTTGTGTAACCTAAGTGGCCTGAAGTCACCTTGTTGTGGCATGCTTCGAGTACTTCGGAGTGAAGGGCTGCTGGGATGACGAGCAAATACGCAGATCCTGTCGACGAGAAGTTTCTTTTGTATAGTACTCCGCTCCGTAAGCAAAATGATGACAGCGCTCTTACGAAAACAGTTGGTGCCTTCTGAGATCTTCCCGCCAGGTAATTAATTAGGGCAAGTAACTCAGGGTCGCCACGTTGTTGCTGTGCAATAGCGGTTGAGTCAAGCACACCGAGAAATGCTGTTTCCTCCTCATCGGATAGAGTTGCCGATTCAATGGGTGAGCGGGATAGACAGTCGGCGTCCATGTGGCGCTTTTCTGACTTGTGTACGAGAGTCATGTCGTACTCCTGCAGCCTGAGACTCCAACGCGCTAATCTCCCGGTAGGATCTTTAAGATTTGTCAACCAACACAGTGAGTGGTGGTCGCTGATGACTTTGAAAGGGCGGCCGTATAAATACGGGCGAAATTTTGTGACCGCCCATACTACGGCGAGGCATTCCTTCTCGGTTGTGGAGTAATTAGTCTCGGCGCGTGTTAGTGTTCGGCTTGCATAGGCGATTACTTTTTCTGTGTCCTCTTGCAGCTGCACAAGCACAGCTCCCAAACCAATATTGCTGGCATCCGTGTGTAGTATCGTTGGGGCTTTCTCATCAAAGTGGGCAAGCACTGGAGGCGTCTGTAGTCGCTGGCGGAGGTTCTTAAAAGCAGCTTCCTCTTCGTTGCTCCATTGGAAAGCAACGTCTTCTCTCGTGAGGTGGGTCAACGGTGATGCGATGCGTGCGAAGTCCGCGATGAATCGCCTATAATACGCACATAGTCCGAGGAATCGTCGGACAGCCTTCTTATCAGTCGGCACCGGGAACTGTGCAACAGCTGCGATCTTTTCAGGATCAGGACGAACGCCTGCGTGACTGACAACGTGGCCAAGAAATTGCAGCTCTTCATAGCAAAAGTGGCATTTTTCAGGCTTCAACGTCAAGCCCGCAGACTGTATGGCTTGTAAAACTGCCTCAAGTCATTTAAGGTGCTGGTCAAATGTTGCGGCGAAAACTACGACATCATCAAGGTAGACCAAGCAGGTTTTCCACTTCAACCCAGAAAGTACGGTATCCATAAGTTTTTGAAAGGTAGCAGGCGCTGAACATAAACCAAAGGGCAAGACTTTAAATTCATATAAGCCATCTGGTGTCACAAAAGCAGTCTTCTCGTGGTCTCTTGGGTCTACCTCGATTTGCCAATACCCACTCCTTAAGTCCATCGATGAAAAGTAACGAGCATGTCGAAGTCTGTCGAGAGAGTCATCTATACGAGGAAGTGGATACACATCTCTCTTTGTCACCTGATTGAGTTTTCGGTAATCTACACAGAAGCGCAGGCTGCCATCTTTTTTTTAACGAGGACTACAGGTGACGCCCAGGGGCTTTTTGAGGGCTGAATGACGTCATCTTCTAGCATTTTGTCGACTTGCTCTTGTATCACTTCGCGTTCCTTTGCAGCCACGCGATGGGGGTTTTGGTGAATTGGTCTCGCCATGTCCTCCGTAATTATCCGATGCTTGGTTAGAGGCGTGCGGCCAACTCTTGATGTTGTCGAAAAGCAGTCTTTGAATTCGGCCAGTAGCTCAAGAAGCCTCCTTCGCTCGTTCTTAGGCAGAGTAGTGCTAACGTCAAGAACTGGTGTCGAATCAAGTTTTGGCGCCTCGTCGACTACTGCCAAGCAGCCTTCTGCGTCTGTGATATCGTCGAAGTAAGCGACGGCCATGCCTTTTGGAAGGTGCCAGCGCTCATCACTAAAATTTGTTAGAAGCAAGTCCGTGCGTCCAGCGGCGACACTGACGATACCTCTTGCGACGGAAATGCCGTGTGTGAAGAGGAGCGAGGTTATTCGGTCTGCTACTCCTTCGCCGTCAAACTCGACAGCGGCTGCCACAGAAACAAGCGTGCATGACCGTGGAGGGAGAACCACATCGTCATCAGTTAGACGCAATTGGTTTGGTCGCGCTTGTGTACAATCAGGTGCGCCCGAACTGTTGCGGAATGTAATAAAACTGTCTGGTATATTGATGACGGCGCCGTACTCTCGTAAGAAGTCCATACCAATAATTAGATCCTTGCAGCATGCGGCGAGAATGACGAACGACGCAACAAAAGAAGAACCTCCTATGTCAATTCTCGCTGTGCATCTTCCAGAGGGCATCAATAACTGACCACCTGCCGTCCTTATTTGAGGGCCTGTCCACGGTGTCCTCACTTTCTTGAGGCGCATGGCGAGGTCCTGACTGATGATAGAAAAGTCGGCACCGGTGTCGACTAAGGCTGTTACTTTCTGGCCGTCAAGAAAAACACTCAGGTCAGCGGTCACAATGTCGTCGCCCTCACGTCTTGTCGGATATACAGCGTCGTGTAATGGGGGCTTTTCGTCGTCATCTTCGTGGCCTGCAACCTTACCCCCGGAAGTCGCCGCCCTCAGTTTCCCCGTCGCGGGCTGGGTGACCTTCTTGCGTTAAGGTCCGCGGAGGTACGTCGGTGTGACGAAGGTGAATGAGCGGGAGAAGGAGAGCGGGGTTGACGTCCCAAACCTGGCTGGCGGGTAGGTATTGCCTCCTCGTCAGAAGTACGGTATTCGTAAAAGTGAGAACGGGCTCCATGGAAAGAGGCGTCCTCCCGGCGTGGTATGTATTCTTCGTTCGCACGTCGATCGTCAGACCATGTTCGAAGCGGGCGGAACGAATTATTGCGGTGCCAGCAATGACGGGCAATATGACCTGCACCTCCGCAGTTAAAGCATAGTGGACGTCGATCGATTGTGCGCCATGCGTCTGTTCTTCGGAGCGGTGGACGTCTGAGCCTCCCTTCTGGCGACGATGTCCATGGTGCTGCTGTGGACGCCTGGTGGTACGTCGGTTGGCTTGGCGGTCGGCTCAGGGTCTGCTCTTGCCGCGGTGACCAAGGTGCCGTCGGCACTGGGTGAAATGGCGGCGATGTACCAGATGGTGAACGTCGCAGAGCATCGGCATAGCTCATGGGACGGTGCTCGTCACCAGGACCAGCGGTAGAAAAGGCATGGCGGATTTCGTCACGTACCAGTTCAGCGACGGACGCAACGGGGGTTTGAGCAACTGGATTCCGGAACTTTTGAAGTTCTTCGCGAACTATCTCCCTAATGAGGTCTCGCAGGGAGCTTTGATCCTCAGGTATGGTGGCAGCATTGATTGGGGCGCTGCTAGACATTCGATGATACTGCCTGCATCGTTGATGGAGCGCCCGCTCGATAGCCGTAGCCTCCTTGATGAAGTCAACTACGGTACTTGGAGGGTGGCGCAGTAGCCCGGCGAAAATTTGCTCCTTAACACCGCGCATGAGGTAGCTCAACTTCCTATCTTCACTCATGTTCGGGTCAGCTCGACGAAAAAGACGAGTCATATTTTCAGCAAACATAGTAACGCTTTCATTGGGTTTTTGAACCCGTAGCTCCAACAGCTGCTGCGCACGGTCGCGTCGATCGACATTGGTGAACGTATCGACAAGCTGTTGTCGGAAGTCGCCCCAAGTTAACAGACTGGCTTCTCTGTTCTCATACCAAATGTTCGCACCGCCGTCAAGGTAGAAATAGGCGCGTGAAAGCTTTTCTTGTTCAGGCCACAGATTAATCTTGGCGACACGCTCGTAGTGCTCAAGCCAGTCGTCCACGTCCTCATGGGCGCCGCCACTAAAGTGATAGGGAACCAGTGGTTGAAAGATGGTTACCTATGAAGGCTGTGTTGGCGGGGGGCCTTGGGGCGCCGCTTGCGGACTGGCGTTGGCCATTTGGAGAGGTAATCGGCACTTGCGAGGTTCCGTGGAAGGCGTGAACTCTGGAGCGAGGCCTATCAGCCGCCGACTGAAGCGGTGCACGGGAGTTGCAATGGGTGACAATGCGTCCGAGCTAGATGAACGGCTCCCAGTGGGAGTATGGAGCATTAGGTAGGGTTGCGTCCCAGCACCTCCACCAGTGTCGCGGTGCAGCGCGAACCCAAGGCAGATGAACGTTGACACAGCGACTCTCAGCAGCCGAACAGCAAGATCGCCTTCTTTATCTTCAATCAGCCAGAGCTCCACTACCCAGTGTCCGCCAAATCCCCCTATTGTCGTTTTGGTCCACCAGTACACACGCGTCAATATGTACTCCTTCAATATAGCCGCCACGTTGGGTTAACGTTAATTACGGTTAGTTGCCCTGCGGTAAAGTTGATTTATGTAGCAGTGTCGAGGGCCAGCATCTTCGCGAGCATCAGCGCTTCATACGACCTTCTTGTGTTGCTAATACGCATGTTCCAGTTGGCATCGTTGCGCAAGTGAAAACAACTGGTTATATAAACAGCTTCAACTGTTGAACAAATGTCAGTGCGTGCAACATTGATAGTATAATTAGCGTCATTTCGTGACGTGTCGCTCAATAAAAAAATTGCAACATGGTCACCTTCCCTCCACATGCTTCGCATAACGTCGATTTCCTGGCACGTGGGATCTGCCGAATGTTTTACATTTGAACGCTGAATGACTTGTGAATCATTTAATTCGCGTGGGTGCCAGCGGCGGTGGCTGTGCTTACTGCAGTATGCATGTGTAGGAAGTTTGGGGACTAAGGTTTTCTCGAAGACAGCGCAGAATTTCTGCAGTGGCAAGTAGATAATTGTTGCCTAAGCGTCTCTTACTGGTGGTACTATATACAGCAAACAGCTGATGCTAAAAAAAAACAGAAAGTCATTCAAACGTACATAGCAAACAGAACAAGAAAATAAGTAAAGAAATAAATAATTAAATAAGGAAAGAAAGATAGAAACAGCTCGTGTGCCAATGGCCTCTATTTTCGAATCACGTGCGTCAAGATAAGCTAAATAAAAAAGAACTCATAGCAATGAGTTTGAAATGTAGCACGCACGGGTGGATATTAAGTAAGTATATACTCTGCACTGTTGTCATTTCGAATGGGGTGGGGCTGTTGGGACATGGGCGGCCACCAAACAGTGCAGTGCCTTGATATTTGACGTTTTTTTTTCTTCAGGCATGCTTATTACACTTACGCTTAATATATATATATATATATATATATATATATATATATCGCTACCGCCATTGTTTCGGTAGCAACATGGGAGCATGCCTTCGGCACATCGCCTTTATTACTAGAGCGCCGACAATGTAACGTGCTTTTGTGAAACTTTCCACTGAAGCTCTCATCAGTGCTTCTCATTGAATGGGCTTACGCTTATGCAGTTTTATTTGCCCCATCTGCGATGAGCATTTTGCTAGTGTGAAGCACATCTTGAATTATAGCAAGAGGGCGTTCCGCATGAGTTATGGCTCACCCTATCTTTGCTCGCGGCTTTTTGTTTGTGTTTACTTGCCACACGTGACGCCTTTGGTATCATGGAAGTCTGCGAATAGCACTACGTTGCAGTCGAGTGGTAATAATACCGAAACAAACATGCAAAAAGAAGTTAGCCAAGGAGCAGAGGTCACAATAATGAGGCTACCATTTGCAATGATGTTTTTTGCATATTCTTATTTTAGTATTCCTTTATTAAGAACACGAGGCTGCTCGGGAGTATAATGGTTATGTATAAGTACAAGGGGTGCTTAACTTTTCATGTTATTTCCAGCAGTTATCACTAAGAATCAAGCATCGCGTTTCCACGGTTGTCTTCTGGTGATGAGAGGAGCTCAAAATTTTGTCCTATTGCCATGCGTTCACAGATTATCATCATCGTCACAATCATAATCACCACCATCATCAACATCATGATGACGACAAGAACAACAGCAACGCTTAACAGTGGGCATAACCTGAGAACACTCATGGTTTGAAGTGTGAATTTTGCTAGAATGAAGTAAATACAAATCAATTGCAAGAACTGTACGGCCGCTCAGGCATAGGCTAGTGGATTGACGGCGATGCCTACCATATCGCCATCTTGGTGTCACCTTGCAGACAATTGTGTTTATCACAAGCATACCTACAGTAGGGTGAGGGAGAGGTAAGGTTTACCCCTGGTCATCTAATAGGGGGGGGGGATGAGGTGCAAAGTGAGCCTCGTGCTTTTACATAGTCGGACATGTACCATCATGTTTCAATGGGCCGGGTTAGGACATCGCAGGTTTTGACAATAATGGCGGCATTGCACGCACGGTTTACTTCGCACTTTTACTCCAGGAAAGCATTTTAATTTTCGCGTCCATTGTGATGCTTCTTTTCTTTCGGACTCGTCCAATGGGTGAGGGGGCACTGCGATGACAGTTTGTTACTCCTGAAGTAGAACTCTGCGTACGCCAATGGTGTGGATCATAAAATAGGGGTAACTAGGAATATCTGTATAAAGTAATGAAGATTAAGGCTTTAAATAATTGGATGATTTTTGCCCAAATATTTGAAAATACTTGTTCAAAAGTATGTGCTTATGCGTGGTTTCCTTAGTGGTCGTAGTTTAAAGCAGCGGGAAAAAAATGAATGGACTAGACTGGGAAGATCACGGGATAAGGCGCTGATATCCCGTGGCCTTCTTTGCCATGTGTTTCTATCTTTCGCACTCCCTAAGCATTATTTGCCCCTAATTTCATTCAGCAGTAAAACATGACTGGAACTTTTCATGTGTGCAGATCTACCAGGCAATGGGCGTCAAGACCCAGGCTGAGCACTACCGCCGGCAGCGGCTGACAGTTCGCCACTCTCAGGGTCTGACCATGGGCGCTGTCTACTGGCATCTCAACGACGTCTGGCAGGCACCTTCATGGTCGTCAATTGGTGCGTACTACTGCAGCAGTACATAACAGAGATACTTCAGACGCTCGCTGTGGTTCAAGGGCTCTGGCATACAATGGCAGGCTGTGGCTTCACGTACTACTCAAAGAGACCTCGGAAAGATAAGCGTTGGAATAGAATTACGCTCACTAGATTCAGTGGCGAAACACTACATTCATTGGAACTTGACCATTTCTGTTAGTCTCAAGATATTTAGGCGAGGCTCTGGGAGAGTCGAGATCTACAGCGCAAAGAAAAAATCACACGGCACCTTATGCATTTGCCGAAGACTGTATGAAGGTCTGCACCATTTTTTTTTTATTATTCTGAGTCGGTGTAATGAGACTGCCCTGCCACTGTTCGGACGCTTTCTCTACTTACCATGGTTTGGCACTGCCTCTGTGAGCAGTACGCCGAGAGCGAATGTCGTGTGACGACGCCATCATGTGACGCCACGGTACGCGGCCCGATTGTGAAGTCATGCACGATAATACCATACGATGTCCCTGCGTTCTCTTTGATTCGTAACAACGTCATCACATGACGGCGACTTTTGTATCACTCGTGTTGATGCCATCCTGTCGGGACGCTTCATGGCGCAACTGATGCCGATGGCCAAATATCCTGTGTTGGGAAACGTTAAGGTTTTCGTATTAAAAATGAAGCTCCCGGTTTACGAAAGCGAGATTTACGCTTGCGTAATAGCTACCAGATATCGGTCATCGTCACGGCGCCGTTGTTAGTAAGCTCGGCTCTCTATATTGAGTGACAGTTGGCCCAGTGTGTTTCAGTGAGGAGACAATGTAATGTAAATTTTCTGAAAACAGGTTTTTTTTTACTTGATTGGTGCATGTGCTACGATAGACAGCATTGAAGTTCTGTTGTTTGTTTACATGGAAGTGCTTTATATGCCGAACTCCACCAAGGCTCGGCTGACGTATTTCTGTTGTGGGCCCAAACGGCGCGTTCTTGTGTTTAGAAACAGTGGTTACTAATTTAGAGCACTTGGTACTGTGCTATGGGAGAGCATATAGCCGTACCGTAAGCCTCATGCTTTATGAGGGCCAACGTATTTCCACAGCGCAAGACTACGAATAGTTACGGCTTAAGTACGGAAGAAGAGACATGGACATAAAAGAGCGCTGAAAAGAGCACAGTGCTCTTTTCGGCCCTTGTTCCTTCTTCCGTAGTTACGCTGTAACTACTTGTAGTCTTGCACTGTGCAAATATTTTGATTTCCGATCACCAACTGGCCCAAGCATCTGTCTTATTAAGTTATGAGGCCTTCAGCAAAACTTAACATGGGCGATATCTATGTGTGTTTAGAAAAAGTGGATAACAATTTGAGTACTAGGTACTCTACCAAGGGAGGGCATATTGAGCCGTCCCGTAGGCCTCATGAAGTGAACGTTCTTCATCGTACGAACAGTGAGCTATTTATATACACATTTTACCGTTGGTGGTACTCGAACCTCGCTGGCATGTTATCATACTCTGGTTATCACTAGCGAGATGGCACGGAAGCCACGAAAGGTGTGCTTTAAAGATCGTCGCCCCGCGCGTTGCAATGCACGCGCAGTTTGTATGTTTTGTTCTTTTAGCGCAAATAGGCGTTGAGGGGTTGTGGGGGTGAGTTACAGAGAGTACGAAGGTCACTTTTCTCACTGCCGTGGCTGCGTTTGCGGAAGAACGCGCTGCTCACTCACAAAAGAGTAGATGTGACAGTTGTCAGTTCGCGCTTGTGCTGTTCGTTTGGAGCGTCGTTCTTTGGGCCTGAGCTGCGCGCTTAAATGTGGAGCTGTGACAGTGATTAGTTCGCGCTCGTCCTGTCTTTTATGTTCTTTTACTTCTTCGTTTCTGATTGAGCTGGGCGCGGCTAGTTTCGAGATGCTTGCCGTTCTTCTGACGACATTACAATTTGTCGCCACAGAAATAGCTGTTTCACCCTTGTGGCGAAACCATGCGCCGTAAGCGCTCGACTACCCCTGGGAAGACACGTTTCACTTTTGTGTTATACCGATTCTCATGATACCAATTTTTATGACGCCACAGTTGGCCTGACCTTAGGCAGACATGCCTGTGGTGTTCATTCTGATGCGGGACCTTGTAGATGCCTTTGTGTAGGCTTGAACGAACATTATTAAACTGGACGTGTCACCGACACTAGTTTTTTGATAACTTTGTCTTCTTCAAGGTAGCAGCTGTCTTGATTAGCACGTATATGTGTGCGCTTCATACTCCCTTCCCCAACCACAGAAGTTAAGGTATAGATTGGCTGGCTTTATAAAAACAAAATCAAAGCAAATTGGCTCCAGGGACACATCCTATTCAAGAATAATCATTCCTTTAGGCCTCCATATCCCCCTTATTTCGCTTTGTTTTAACCCCTTACTACTCAATATCTGACGTCCCTCTCATATTTTGTGTCCTATTCTGCCTTATGTGCAGGGTTGTTTGATTTGTCTGCTTGCGTTAGCTTAGGCTACAGTACGTAAGTGCGCGACGAAGTATGTTTGGTTAACACGTGGTGCCAGGAATCGACTTGCTCGGTCTAGGCTGTGTAACGAAGCGCGCCTCCGACGACGTTACGAAGGGCGCCTCGAAATCTCACCACTGCAACCACTGTTTCGAAAGACGGCGACGCCAACACGGTCCCGAAGGCGCCACTGCTTCGAACTCCGCCGGGAAGGTCATTAGCCGTTTGGTAGCGTAGGTTTCTCAGCTCGCGACTGCTTCTGCGCAGAGCTGATAGACGAGCGGACGAGACGACGGTGAGTTAAACAAGGTTTATGTACAGCATATATACAGAGGCGTTACAAGTTCGGCACTGGGGCCGACAGCTTAGAGACCCGAAGAGCCGAGCTCTCCTCTCTAACACATAGGTCTGCTCTCAAATGGGTCTGCTAACACATAGCGCAACTCTCTATCACATAGCTCTCTTCTCTGACACACATGCATGCTAACACATAGCTCAACTGCGACACACATGTCTGCTCTCACATAGGTCTGCTGCTAACACATAGCTCAGCTAACTCATAGCTCTCCTGCTCACATAGCTCAACTGCGACACACATGTCTGCTCTCACATAGGACTGCTGCTCGCGACGCGCCGCAGGGCTTCTTTTATATGCACCGGGTGGATTCTTAGAATAACAAAATGTCCAACCAGAAGCGCCGCTGGTCATGAGGTCAGACTCCTCCAATGGGGTCGCCGCTGGGCCGCGTCATTCTTTCTCATCGAATCTGGAGAGGCTGCGCTGCAGGTGGCTGCACCCAAGGACGAGTGACGTCGCAAGCATTGCGTCAGACCGGCCAGACAGGAAGGCCCCGGTTGTTTACTCGACGGGCTCGCGGGCTGAGGTGATTCACTGCACGTGCGCGCCAGAAAGGCGCCGTCGCGTGATGACGCCGTTAAGTTGTTGATCGCGTTAGGCGGGCTCGCGTGCTGGCCTTGACACAGATTTCCTTTTTCCGAGGCATGGACGTTCGCTGCAGACTCGCAGGCACAACAGCTGTCCAGCGATAAGAAACCTTGGCCTCGTTGATACGAAGAACCTAGTGTCTGCTTTTTGCGAACTTGCGACTGCAAGTTGTGTATTGTACGGCATGCATAATTCTTGTACAAATGCTGCAGTTGATAAAAGAAAATACTTGCTGCTGGTCTCCTTATGCCTCGACGTCACAACAGTGGAAAAGCTCTTGGTGCTTTAAAGAAATCCGCCCAACGCACGCGTCATAACGACCTTTTCTTCTAACCTGACGGCCCCCGCGCAGTGTACGTGATCGATCGTGGGTAACCGACTCATGTATTCCATGTTGATTCGGAATCGATCCGACAACGCCCCGCAAACGAGGCGTCACCGCGCAGTGCGTCAAGGCTGCGTCGCGTCGCGTTCAGGCACAGATTGGTACTTCATGAGAAACAGACCAGGCCGCAAACGAGATGAATATCAGTTTAGTCAGCAGAGAAAGCAAAAGTACTTTTCTCGCGGAGGCTCATATTGATTCGTGAATAGAGGTCATAAAAGGGACGTTTCACTTTAATGCACCATAGTGTTCTTCACGTGCAGTTTGTACCTCTATGTTTCATGCGGCGCTTCGATGCGTTTTTTTAATGAAATATCTTTGTTTTCACTATGCGTAAATAGTTTTAACGTGCCCTAATGTATAGCTGCCATTCAGTTAAGTATGGCACCGACAGAATGAACCACGAAACAAGCAATTCAACAAGCAAGAAATCAAGAAAGCAACGAAAGAAGAAATACAAATAGTATGTATACAAGTTGAGTTAGGTACAATACGCGAGGCTTTTTAATTCGTCGAAGTTCTTTTCATGGTAGTATCGAGAAAGAGAGGAATTGTGACATGACGAACTTGGCTTGCTTTTTTGTTTTGTGTTTTGGTGCTATAGTGTGAACGCGGAGTGTAGAAATGTGGTTGGCCGAGCGTTTTTTTAATTTTTAAAATTTTGATTAGGATAACGAATTGATTGTACCAGTATGTACACCTGGTTGCCCAAAAGCCTGGAGGTCTTATGACCCTTGTCACTTCTTTACGATGCATCGCCATCGCTTCCGTTAGAGGTTACTTCTTTTTTTCCCATAGTCTGCGTATACTATTGCAAAAAAAAAAAAAATCGTTGGTTTTCTGAAAAGCGAGTTCCTGACAAAAAAAAAATGGATGTAGGAAGAAGCAAGTGAGTAGGATGTAAGAAGATCAAATGCTAGCAGTGATCCTAAAACTTGATCTCGGAATCTTTTATGAAACGCAAGTGTTTTCTAAATTGCGACACGAAGTGTAAGAACCACTCGGTTGAGTAATGTAATTTCTGACGAGGATGTCGGCGTGCAGCTTTAAACAGGCACAACAGCAAATAAACATGGTTTGTAGGAAACAGCCATGCGAAAGGGTTTTCAGAAATGACACTTTAGATGGTCAGTCGCTGGCTTCCTCCTCCTGACTAGCGGATGCAGACGTTAAAATTGATCGTGTTGTTTTTATTGACCCAACGACACGTGAAGCGGAAATATTTATTTATGCTATGCAAATAAGAATAAAACATCGGATCTGTCTGATCTATCTCTGAGAGCTCATACAACTACAGTCTGCCACGTGTACACGTGATTAAGTGTAAACCGTTTGTCCACAATGAACATGGTGCGGCCATCAGCGACTTTACAGCCTTTTTATTCGAGCGAAAAAGGCGGAATACTCTGGTACGTTTGGACCAGATATCTGTCTTCGACCGACCCAAAACGATGAAGCATAAATACGTTGCTGAGCGCGCGTTTGTCCACTTATTGTGAGTGCAGATTTAACTATCGCATCCCTTGCAACGTATTCACTTATTAAATTGAATTTCACGAATGGTATACACAATAGTGTTGTTGTATGCATATTATTCTTCGCTCACCGGTGCAGACTACACGGGCGAATGGAAGATGCTGCACTACTTCGCGAAACGCTTCTTCGCACCTCTGCTTGTGTCTCCGTTCGAAGAAGCTGGCCGCCTGGTTGTCTACGTGCTGGACGACCTCTACCACAACGAGCCCTACGACCTGCTCCTGGAAATCAAGCTCTACCACTACGCCTCACCGGATCCCAGGATTTCACTCACGCACAACTTAACGGTGCGGACTTTCTGTAATCACTCGCGGCTCTGGCGCGTGTCGACTTTTGGTTGTCAATTTATGCTTAAATTATATTTTGAATCCCATAAAAACACATATTCTTGTTCTGTGGTGAGTTATGTCGCGAAGCCACTATTTGGGCAAGTGCCATAGATTTGTGTATGTCGGGTCCTCACGAAGACACCTCTTCTTGCCGAGGCGATAACTCCGGCGACATTCCTTTGGCCCAGCTGAAGAAGACAGTTTGTATTGCAGAAGCAACGGTGCCAGTAGTATTCTTAGTTGGATGAATTCTCATCACCTCAAACCTTCATCTTCACCTTAACTCGCGCCTAATGAAAATTGAGGCCACTGATAGAGTGAAAAAGAATGGTTCTGGCGGTTTGAAACCTTTTGATGTTTCTGGGTCCGCGCTCGTGTTCGTCAGTCTTCCACTTCTTCAGTAATTGTCTGCCTGTACTTCCGCACTTCTGGGCTTTGTGCTGCTCATCTTCACCATGAACTTGCGTAGGTTGCCTGATCACAACGAAATAGACCAATAGCGCCGTTATCGAGTTATGTATGCCGTGTATGAAGTGATGAGCTGCCATAAACGTGAAATACGGTTCTAGTGCTGTTTTATTTGCATATTTTAACTGTAAATTGGAAGCTGAGGGATCAGTTAGTTAGCGTTTTTACGGCATTTAAAATTGCTTTAAACACACCTGTTTATATAATGCACGCACAAATACATTAGCTTACTGTTCGTAAGTGTAGTTAAATACCGTTCATTGCATTAGTCGCAATGAGGGCGCACTTCAAACCAATTATTTCTGAATGCTTGCACACTTTTCATATTCTAATAGCGGCAATACTGAATTGGTGCTGTTTCGCAGGCTTGTGATTAGTGGATATGTCGTGAAATCTCAGCACTATCGGCGTCAATGAAACGCGAACAACAGCAAGCATTCACAATGGTTTGGTGCGCGCGTTGCAGCTATGACCAGGACAGGCGCACATATGTGCTGTGCTGCCAAACCGAATAAGCGTACCTGTCAATGGTGATGACTGGAGTGCGCACACTATACTACTGCGAATGCTTACCGCTGGACGAGTTTCATTTAACGTCGATATAACACAAGGAACACGCGTCTTTATAAAGAAACATGTAAATAAATAACGGGCAAACGTGTGGTTTTAGCATAGGTCGTGACTTGTCAGAGAAGCATAACGCTGACGTGCAAGAGCTGCGCAGCTGCAAGATAAAAAAGCATGCAAACCATACACTAAATTTCTTTCAAACTCGAGAAAAGAAAGATAATAGGACTCACAATTACGTGCTTCTATCGAACAATTCATGGGGCAGATACGTACGTAATGAAAACCGGTGTCTCTACATCATGATATCCACCAACGAAGTTTGTTGGTGTCACACCACGTCTGGCGACTGCCGGGAACTGTAAGAACATGCATATGTTTCTCACATGAGGTACACACAGAAAAGTAGAAAGAGACAGCTGCGTCGATGTATACGTGTTTTTATTATTGATTGAGTCTAATTTGGAACAAATGTATGGTGCATCATTTCTCGCTACATCACAGCTCTTGTATGAGGTGTGATATATGAATAGAGATATATGAGAAGGGAAGCGGGTTAGGGGAAGACAGAAGGTTAGGTGGGCAGATGAGATTAAGAAGTTTGCGGGTATAAATTGGCAGCAGCAAGCACAGGACCGGGTTAACTGGCGGAACATGGGAGAGGCCTTTGTCCTGCAGTGGACGTAGTCAGGCTGATGATGATGATGATGATGATATGAATAGATCTATCTACCTAATGATTGATTGATTGATCGTTCCATCGATCTTGGTCGGTCGGGTAGATTCTGCGACCTATATCCTTTGTTACACCTTATTTGAAGCTCCGAACCACACTTATATTTTCGATTACCTAATGATGATTGATTGATATGTAGGGTTTAACGTCCCAAAACCACCATATGATAATCAGAAACGCCGTAGTAGAAGGCTTCGGAAATTTCGGCCATCTGGGCTTCTTTGACGTGCACCCAAATCAGGGCACACGGGCCTACAGCATTTTCGCCTCCATCGAAAACACAGCCGCCGCAGCTGTGATTTGATTTCGCGACCTGCGGTTCAGCAGCCGAGCACCTTAGCCATTAGACCACCGCGGTGGGGCCCGCTGGACATTATTTAACAAACCAGAGCTTTTCTGCTTCAGTTTACAGCGGCTATACTTTTATATATGCTGGTCGTAGTTTTTTTTTTTTCGCACAATCCCCTAGATGGCCAGTGAGGTGTTACCTAAAAATGTAAATAGTGCAACTAGAACTCACGCAGAAAATATTCAGAATTCAGGATATAGAATACGGTTATGTCTTCAGACCAAACAAAGTGGGGAATACTCAAAGAAAGCGAGCTGCCTGTACCTGATGAGCAAAAAAAAAAAAAAATGGTGGGGATTGTTCTGGCTGAGAAAAGCTTGAAAAGCTCTGGGCGCAAGAACGTTTCCTATCTGCCGAAAATGTCGTGAAATAGGAATATCAAAACAGTAATATAACTAGAAAAACGAAGAAATGACATATTCTTTATACAAGAAAACAAAACTTAAATGCTCCCTAGCTAGCCAAGTAAAACCTTAAAAAAGTAATTATTTATGCTTAGCTTCAAAAACCGCGAAGATATGAAAATTGCTTAGCATGCCTGGCGTAGAGGTCTTTTTTTTTTTTTTGACTACGCACGTTTTGAGGCTCCGGCGCGTCTGGGTTAACGTAATAACGTGAAACTGCAGAGACGGTGGTGGATGTGAAGGCAGGTGGTTGGAGAAATATACGCGTGGTCATTATTTCTTTTTCTTGTGGTCATAGTTGGCGTAAAGAAAATTAATGACTTTTTACTGTCACTCTCAAAAACCATGCGCTGCAGCCTATTTCTCAATAATGAAATTTGCTGTGGCTCCTGCACAAGTTTGTGTTTTTTTTTAAATTAGCCACCATTTAATTTTTATTATTGAGTAACGTGTGCTCATTGTGAGCTCGTGCGCTTTCAGACCCACTACAGCGTGCTACCACACCACTTTGCTCTAAACCAAATTTCGCAAGCCAGCCATGCGCATCGTTTTATCTACCCTTTATTGTTTCTATACATTCTAAAAAATTCTTCGTGGGTAACAATAGGTGCGGCACAAAGTCACACATGCACGCGCACATGCACGCGCACATACACGCACACACAGCATCGTTCTATTTTTGATATGCCGTTATGTTGGCCATAGTGATTATATAATCATGGGAACGCCGTCGTGGCAGCCATATTGAGATGGTGTTAGTAATGCTGCAACACACAACACACTGCACTTTCATGGTAGTCGAACAGTTCGTCATGTAATATGTTCTAAATGGCCGAGAAAGAGAGAGAGAGAGCCGGAGTGAAGGCAAAAGGAGGTCTGTAGGGGACGTTCCTACACGATAGTAAACTTTGCGTCGTCGAGTTTGTGCACTGCGAACGTGAGCTGCTTCGCTACCAAGTACCATTCCCGCGCAAGTTATTTTATCTCGGCTACGAATATCACACACGCTTCACTGATAACTTTCTTCTTAAAGAGGTACCGCAACACTTTTACACGTAGTCAGTGAATTGCTACATTAATGGAGCTTATTGTCTCGCGGACCGACTGGCGCAAAAAAAATGTTGAAAATCAGTTAATTTCGATCGGAGTTACGGGATTTCGTCGCACGCTTCAAGCACTTTCTCTGTTTTTTCGTACCGGCGAACGATCAGAAAGCTAGCTACAAGAGGAGGGAAGAAGAGGGATGAGTTGGGGGCAAGTTATCCCTCCATTTGTTGGGTCACTTTATTTTCTTTCTTAGAACGCGCGGCTTACTTTCACTGTTATCGCGCATGCGCACGTGGGTGCGTGGCGGAATCTTGTGACAGCCGCGATAACTATGTATCTCACGATGCTCAATCAGCCAGTGGCCGTGTACATGGTTTATGACATGGCTATTTGAATTTATGCCATCGCTAGTCGAGTGTAGAGAGGGTGACTTATAGCTAGCTTTAAGAAATATTTGTAAATTTTAAGCTGCTTCTTGCAGCGTAATATTTGACTCGCGTGTTTTTACAGCTTCACCAGAATGGCGGCGTATTCTGGCCGTGCCATAAATAAGTGTTGAAGTGCTCTTTTAGGTTCTACAACAACAGCAGCAACAACAACAACAACAACAACAACAACAACAACAACAACAACAACAACAACAACAACAACAAGATAAGCTTACTGCACTACCTGAGATTGATCACTCACTGTAAATTACGTCAATAACATGTCTAGCGTTAAAAACACGAGGACAGATGTGTTTCCCACTTTCCCACAAAACGCCTAGCGCGTTGAACACTTGAAAATTACGTTCTTATTTGAAATGAATACGCTTGTTGAAGTTCTCAATGAAACACGTTTATCTGTGAAAACTCGCCCCTATACTTTAATTTTTAGCAGTTTATCTGCTTAAGATTTCGTAGGAAAGAACACTGTTTTTATGTCATTACCTAATTATTTTCGTACTAAGTTGGGGATCTCATGGGCTTGATTCTTATTGCGAAATTAAACAACGAGAGAAAGCTAAACCTCTATAGTTTTGCATTTATGTGTCCTTGTAATGCTCGTGATAACCGCGTCATCTCGCTGCAAATCAGGCTACGAAAGGTAACGGTGGCTCTCACGTATGTGGTAAAATTAATCAAGCTATCCCAGTATGACGAGAGCAGAGTTGCCGTTGGTTAGATTTGAAAACGAGCGGGAATTCGAGCTATAAGTAGCCAAAGTAGCCATTCATTTTAAATTTGTCACCAGATTTGTAGCGAATCGGAGAGAAATTGTATTATCACTTGAATGTTTACAAATAATGACTTTGAGTACGCAAAAACATAGATAAGATCATATTGCTTCCCACCTGGCTCTTGAAGCGACAGGTGAGTTGCAAATGAGGATTTATTTTACTGCGAAATCTGTTATGAGACCCCGACAACAGTTGCGTGCGCCGTAGTTGTCCGCCACCACCGGTGTCCATAACCACTATCGCACAAAATAAAAAAACACAGTGAAAAAATTTCACCAAGGACACACTGGAATTCGAACTCTAGTTTGCTGCGTGTCAGCCCGGTAGTCTACCACTGAGCCATGCTGGTGCTGAGCCGTACTGAGCCATATCGGTTGCAAGCTTGCCTTAGGCAGGCTTGATGTTGGCAAAGCAATCGCGTTAATGTGAATAAAAAAGCGTTTTAGAACATCAAATGAACGACCAGGCGTCACACAACACGAGTTGCGTAACGAGTGGGTCGTCGAATGCTCCAACCCATTACAAAAGCTTCAGGTATAATTCTTCGGTTTCGTCAGCCACAGCGTAAACGAATTACACAAAATTCCTTGCATTTGTGTAGCGGGTACCACGATTCTCAAAAAAACACAAAATATAACATAGTGAAAGCTCCCTACTACGCAAAAATTATGACGATTAATGGTGTATATAGTGGGTATCGTACAAGTATGCTTGTATTAGTTACCGAAAGAGTGTTTAAAGGAGGCTCTGGAAGTCTGCTTTTCAAGCTATCGCGATGCCTGTGCTGCGTGTTCCACGCAGGCCACGTGGTTTATTAAGCAGTAATATTATAAATAAATAAATAAACAAACAAAGAAACAAACATATAAATAAATAATTGAAAAAATAAATAAATAAATAAATAAATAAATAGTAGTTCTTGTGCTGCGAGCACAAGAGCATTGATGAGAGTGCATAAAGGGCAACAAAAAAATGAGCAGAATATATATGTAGTGAGTAATAAAGAACAAGCAGACTTCCAACAGACTACTAAGCACAGGGTTTTATAGAGCAGAATGGCCTCAGAGCGACAACCAAAGGGATGACCAACAGTGAGGTGATAAAAGAAATGGGTGCGGGAGCACGCCTCCTTAGTATATTCTATAGAAGTAAGCTCAAGCGGTGAAAATATAGGTGTGCTGCTAGAGATGGAGGGAAAAGGCGGCAATTCGTGGCTCTTATGTTGGCTGTGCGGTTGTACTCGTAAGGAACTTGGTATTCTCCCTGTTAATAATACGTGACAAATGTGAGTGAGGGGGACACAAAGTTAGGTGGCCAGACGACATTAAAAAGTCTGCAGAGATAACGCGGCAGCAAAAAGCACAGGACTGGGTTGATAGACAGAACTTGGGAGAGACCTTCGCCCTGAAGTGGGCGTGGCTGATGATGAAGAAGAAGAAGACGACGACGACGACGACGACGACGACGACAATGATGATGATGATGATGATGTGTGAGTGTATAAATATTCATAGCAAATCACACGTCATAAAATGCAACGCTGTTCAAGTGGTAGGCTGAATGTTGTTCCTTCGGAACGCAAATAACCTTGATTTTTCTTACAGTTAGTTCTATATAAGATATTTGCACCCGGTGCCACAGAAACTCTATAGTGTTAGTATCGTGTTATTTAGTGCGTCTGCATATATTTATTCATGATAGTTCTTCCAAGAGAAAAGGGCGTTTTGTAGCATTCTCGCCAACAATTAAGTCAGTAAGACCATTAAACTTCTAAGCAGTTTTCTTCAAGCCACATACTTAAATTGACTATTTGATTTACCATAACACCATACCTTTGGCTATCGCACTGAGGGCATTAGATTACGCGACAGAAGCTATAAACAGCGCCCGATCTTTCGGTCTTGTTCTTTATTACCTGCAAACAATAAGAAAATTGGTTACTAAATGCACCCAAACAGAAGTTTGATGTAGCCAAAAAGTAGCCATGGTGCCAACTTCAAACTTGCGTGTCCAGACAGGGTCCTAAAGTATCCAATTTGGCGTGAATGAGCTACCGAAAGCAACCCTGATGGCGAACTCCACACGTTTTAAATGAAGGTATACGTGCATTGCGGATCTGAATTTTAACGTTGAAATCCGTGAGAATTGTACAATTGGCACAATTTCGAGGCATGCTCCATTTAAGAAATGTCGCATATTGAATAATCGAGTTCACTAAGAATCGCTGTCTGGGTTTGCTTAATGATATCTACAGACAACTAAAGTGTAGAGCTTTAAGGGAAAGCGGACTCAGCCACGAATAATGGACGTAAGAAGCGTTGCGCTAAATTTGTATAGCGTACTTGATCGTCTTGAGCAAGGTTTTTTAAGAGACGTTACGTCAGTATTAATAACAACGCTGGTTCTTTTGTTTTCTTTTAACCTAAAAAAAATAAGATAAAGTTATTGCCCGAATTCTTGTGTCTTGAAAATTATGCGAAACAGTTGCTGCCAGATACAAAGATGCCACGAATTATTGATTCTCAAACTAAACGTAATATAGCTAAGTAAAAAATGGCTCAGGTCTCAGTTAGCGAATACCCTGAAGGTGTGCACGAGTTTTTATTTCTTGATAGTAAGGCTTGTACCGAACTATTATCAGCAAGCACAAACGGAATAACTACTCGAGCGGGGATTTCTATTATAAGCACAGACGGTAATTAAATGCGGCCCAGTATTTCCTCAATTGTACGTTCCCATGACAACATGTGAATTCACAAACTAAAAAAAAAAAACACATTAAGAATAACCTGCTGGCACCCTACATTCAGCACTGCTACACTGTAGCAGTGCTTGCAGTGTTGTTAACGCTATCGTGTCACGGTTTGGGCATCACGTGTACATCTACGACACTCACAAAAAAGAATGATAACAGAAGAGCGCAAGTTCTGGTTTTCATCTTTATAGATTACTTTTTTCGTCTTCCTTCGAGTTCAAGCCAGCTCTACTACCCCAATATGTGACTGATGCCAACGCGGCGTCCCCTCACTTTAATTACGAACCACAGGTGATGGCAGCACGTGGGTTAAAAGGCGTGATTTTCGCTGAATTGCGATATTAGTTTGACGTCCCTTGCAGCTAAGGACCGCGTGAGTTACGCAAGTGCTTTCATGCCCTAGCGAAACGTTTTTGTGTGTTTCGTATTCGGCTTTGGCCCTGTTCATGCAGGTGTCCAGTTACGTCCACGCTGCGTACGTGGCCAACGTGTCCAGGCTGCTGGCTTCGGCGTCGCGCCACCGCAACAACAGTTTCTTCACGTTCCGCCTGCTGAACGCGACCGACAACACGACGCTGTCCTCGAACTTCCTGCTTCTGCAAGTGCCTCGCTTCGCGAAGGACATCGCCTTCGTCACGCTGCAAGTGAGTACCAAAGTTAGGCCTGATTCGCGCAGCCGTAAAACGTCCATGATGGTACCTGAACCAGCGCCACCGGAGTCCGCCATGGTACAGTGGTCTCTAGCTCGTCATCATGAGGTATACCCTGATCAAAAAAGAATGGCTGATCCCTCCATCAATAGAGATAGTATAACGCGAAAGTGAAACGCGTCTTCACAAAGGTTGTTAAGCGTTTATTGTGCATTGTTTCGACAAAAGGGCTAAGCAATTAGTGCGACAGCAAAGAATAGTTATGTGCAGCCAAGAATGGCAAACAGCCCGAAAATTGCACCAGACTCGTCAAGTAGGAACGACGAACGAAAAAACACACACAGGACGAGCTCGAACTAACAACTCTCACAGCTCTACACTTAAAGCGTGCTGCAAAATGAAAAAGAAGGACGCATGAAATGAGCGCAAAAGTATACACATGACGAGCGCGAACTCACGATATCTGGGGTTTAAGGTCCCAAATCCACGATATGATTGTGAGAGACACCGTATTATATGCAGCGCGAGCACGAAAGTGCTAGAAGAAACGTGAAACGAAAGGCGAGGCAAGGAAAGCAAAGAGGACAACACGAGGGCTTCGGAAATATAGCCCACCCGCGGTTCTTAAACCTGCACCTAAATTAAAGTGAATGGGCGAGCGCGAACAACTGCATGCCACAATTGCCTCTGTATGTCTGAGCAGCGCGAATTTTTCGCAAACGCGGCCGTTGCAGCGAGCTAAGTGGCTTTCATGCTCTCTGGAACTTGAACGCCAGCACATGGCTTGCAAACTGCCCGATTACGCGATAAGCACGCTCGCATTGCAACGTATGGAGCGACGGCTCTGAAGCGCATCCTCGCACCCGTCGTGCCATTTCGCTGGCGCTGGTAGTAACACGAATACAGTAAATGATATATATATATATATATATATATATATATATATATATATATATATTGTCGCGAGCAAAAACAAGACCTGCAGCCAGGAGTTATCAATGGTGGCATTACTCCCTCTCCCAAGAAGCATCGTCTCGATGCTGTACATGAAGGCAAAAAAAGAAAAGAAAATGAGATGAAAATTACCATGCAAGCAAAATGAATGGCGTAAGGCGGAATAACATAGTTGGTTGTGGAGCCAAGAGTTAAATGAGAAATAAGAAAAATAGGAAAGAATGTAAGGGAGAGACGAATAAAGTCAGTCACTCACTGGCGATTCACAGCGCGAAAAGTATGGTTTCAGCCGTGAAACGTGAACGACTTCAGTTCGCGGGGAGAAACGGGAACGTCTCGAAGTGCCTTCTGGGAGAACCTCGTATGTGACGTCGCTGAGACGTCGTACGACCTTGTAAGGGCCGAAGTAGCGGCGAAGAAGCTTTTCTAAACGGCCACGTTGTCGGATAGGGGTCCACACCCAGACTTCATCACCGGGATTGAAAATAACTTCACGGTGACGAAGATTGTAGCGGCGTGCGTCTGCGGTTTGGTGATGTTGAATACGGTGACGAGCAATTTGACGGGCCTCTTCTGCACACTGCTCGAATTTGGCGGCATCGGTGCGGTATATTCCTAAGTTGTCGGGCAGGAGCATGGCGTCGAGCATCGTCGTGACCTCGCGACCGTGCACTAAGCGAAAAGGTGTGAAACCGGTACTTACTTGAACAGCAGTATTATACGCAAAAGTTACGTAGGGAAGTATGGCGTCCCAGTTATTGTGATTGATGTCCACATACATTGACAGCATGTCTGCAATTGTCTTATTGTGTCGTTCAGTCAGCCCGTTTGCTTGCGGGTGGTAAGCCGTTGTTTTACGATGTTCCGTGCCACTTAATCGCAAGACTTCCTGCAGCATCTCTGCGGTGAAAGCTGTCCCACGATCAGTTATGACGACAGCTGGAGCGCCGTGACGTAAGACGATGCTGTTCACGAAAAATTGGGCGACATCTGCTGCGGTTGCTTTTGGAAGCACCTTGGTTTCACAGTAGCGTGTTAAGTAGTCGGTAGCGACCACAATCCACCGGTTTCCAGACGAAGACGTGGGGAATGACCCCAGCAACTCCATGCCAATTTGATGAAAGGGCGCCTTTGGTGGGCCTATTGGTTGCAGTAGTCCCGCTGGTCGTAAAGGTGGAACCTTACGTCGCTGACAGTCACGACATGTGCGAACGTAGTGCTTCACAGTCTTTGCGAGACGTGGCCAGTAGTAGGAGCGTTGAATCCGTTGCAGCGTGCGCGTATAGCCGAGGTGTCCGGACGATGGCTCATCATGACACGCACGTAAAATGTCACTACGAAGCGTAGTTGGCGCAAGAAGCAGATACATAGCTTGTGTTGGATGAAAGTTCTTTTTGTAAAGCACTCCATCGCGGAAACAAAAGGAGGATAGTGAGCGTACAAAGCTTCGAGGAGGGTGGGAATTGCGTCCTTCCAGGTAGTCAATTAGCGGAATGAGCTCCGAGTCGTGACGCTGTTGCCCAGCCAAGTGGGTTGCTGATACGGCAGAAAGAAAAGTGTCGTCGTCTTCAAGGTCAGTGTTGGCATTTTCGACCGGTGCACGCGAGAGACAGTCGGCGTCGGGGTGTGTTTCCACCCAGATTTGTGGGCGATGGTGACATCGAAATCTTGTAGCCGAAGGCTCCATCGTGCTAGACGACCTGAGGGATCTTTGAGATTTGCGAGCCAACAAAGGGAATGGTGGTCACTAACTACCCTGAAAGGGCGGCCATACAAGTATGGGCGGAACTTTGTTATGGCCCAGACAACAGCGAGGCATTCCTTTTCGGTTGCAGAATAGTTTTTCTCCGGTGGGGATAACGTTCTGCTCGCATAAGCGATCACGCGCTCTCTGCCATTATGCCACTGAACTAATACCGCTCCTAGTCCAACGTTGCTGGCGTCAATGTGTAATTCCGTGTCAGCGCTTTCGTCAAAATGATCCAGTACAGGCGGAGCCTGGAGGAGGTTTCGGAGGGTGTCGAACGCATGTCACTGATCGGGACCCCAAACAAACGAGACACCGTCTTTTGTAAGCTTGTTGAGGGGTTCCGCAATCTTCGAAAATTTTTGGACAAAGCGCCTGTAATACGCACAGAGCACTAGAAATCGGCGTAGGTCGACCGCGCTTATTTGTGGGCACGGGAAAGCCGGCAACAGCACGGGTTTTCTCTGGATCTGGGCGGATGCCGGCATGGCTCACAACGGGACCAAGGAACTTCAGTTCTTCATATCCAAAATGACATTTCTCGGGTTTGAGAGAAAGCCCCGCTGTTCTGATTGCCTGAAGAACTGCATGAAGGCGTTGGACGTGTTGTTCAAACGTGTCTGCAAAGACCACGACGTCATCAAGGTAAACAAGACATGATTGCCATTTGAGCCCTGTGAGAACTGTATCCATCATTCTTTGGAAAGTAGCTGGCGCTGAGCATAGACCTAAAGGCAACACTTTAAACTCGTACAGGCCGTCGGGAGTAATGAACGCCATCTTTTCGCGGTCGCGCTCATCCACTGCGGTTTGCCAGTAGCCGCTACGTAAATCCATGGAAGAAAAATATTTAGCGTTGCGTATACGGTTCAACGAGTCATGTATCCGGGGTAAAGGATAAACGTCCTTTTTGGTGACCTTGTTCAGTTTACGGTAATAAACGCAAAAACGCAACGTACCGTCCTTCCTCTTTACTAGCACAACTGGCGAAGCCCAGGGACTGGTTGATGGCTGGATGACGTCGTCCTGAAGCATCTGCTGGACTTGGTCACGTATAGCGTCTTGCTCTTTTTGCGACACCCTATAGGCGTGTTGACGGATAGGTCTCTCGGTGGGTTCCGTGATGATACGGTGCTGAGCAAGTGGTGTCTGTTTAACCTTTGACGTAGTGGCAAAGCAGTCTTGAAATGAGCCGAGTTAACGCAAAAGGCTTTCTCGTTGAGCCGAAGGTAGTCTCTCGTTTACGTGGAGAGTGCTCGCGAAGGCCTCGTCAGGGTGGCCATTCGATGAAAATAAAGCTAACGTGGGCGAACCATCGGCATCGGCAAGTTGTTCACAATATGCAATGGCAGTGTGTCTCGTTAGGTGGCGATATTCGTCGCTGAAGTTCGTGACCAGCAGGTGAACATGCCTATTGCTAGGCTGAATGATCCCTCTGGCAACACAGATTTGTCGTGAAATAAGGAGAGACAAATTGGCCTCTGCAATTACCGCGTCAGACATGTCCTGTCCCAATTCTACTGCGACAAAGAGGCTGCTTCGAGGTGGGAGAGTCAGAGAATCATCGGTAACACGAAGCGCTCTTTTCCGGAATTGTGTACTGTCAGTTGCAGCGCAAAAAGGATCCTCGAACGACACAAGTAATTCACGGAGGTCAATGATGGCACCGTATTCACGAAGGAAGTCCATTCCTAGAATGACTGGCCGAGAGCACACGCGCAATACGAGGAAAGAGCCTGCGAATGTCGACGTACGTATACGAATGCGTGCCGTGCACATACTGGTAGGCATCACCAGATGGCCCCCTGCCATGCGCAACTGGGGTCCTTGCCATGGTGTGGTAACCTTCCTCAGTTCAGATGCCAGTGCGGCGCTCATTACGGAATAGTCGGCGCCGGTGTCGACGAGGGCGTTGACAGCATGATTGTCGACGAAGACGGAGATTTCGGCAGAAACGATCTTTCTGCTGTCAGAAAACACTGCAAAACCGGAATGGTCCTCGTCTGGTCATTGCGTCGAATGAGGGTCTTTTACAGTTCGCTGAGCCGCGACTTCACCCCCAGAAGTCGCCGTTCCTAGTTTCCCCTGCGGGGACTTGGTGACCGGCTCCTGAAAGGAGCGGTAGACGATGAGGGCAAACTGAGTGACGTAGACCGGCGAGGCGACGGTGATCTCGACTGGTGGTGCTGAACAGTCGAAGGTGTTCGCTGGCCCGTGAGATAGGCTTCGATTTCGCGGGGGCGCTCACCATAGCGCGGGCATCGAGCATCAGGATGGAAGCCACGGAGACCTAGTTGCCGGTATTGACAGTTCGTGTATACGTGACCCGCTTCGCCGCAGTGATAGCAGAGCGGACGGTTATCCGATGTGCGCCACGTGCTTGCCTTGCTACCACTTTGTCTTGAGGTAGACGGCAGATAGGTGGGTGTGCTCGGGAACCTTGAGCCGAGAGGCGGGCTCGAAGCAGTGGCGTTGAATGACTGCATAGCCTGGTACCTGGGCGGCATAGCAGGATCTGTAGCCGGTGGCGCAGGGGATCGCAATGCCGCTGCGTATGTCAGGACTGGGGCCTCGGGAATCGGTGGTGCGATTGGGGTCAGGGGTGTGACGGCCTGCCGGACTTCTTGTCTGATTACATCTTCGAGGGATGACACAGGTTGATGGGATCCCACTGCCTGAAGCTGTCGCAGTTCGCCCCGAACAATACTTCGAATGAAGTCTGCGAGGGCCTGTCTCTCGCTGTCAGAGCCGATAGAGCATGCGGTGGCCGGGATCTGGCGTTCGTATTGTGACGACCGCTGCTGCAGCATACGTTCCATAGTGGTCGCCTCACTGATGAACTGGGCGACTGTCGTTGGTGGATTGTGCACGAGCCCAGTGAAAAGCTGTTTTTTTACTCCGCGCATGAAATGCCGCACATTCTTTTCCTCGGGCATGGCAGGGTCCGCGCGCTTGAAGAGCCGAAGCATGTCCTCGACAAACATGAATACTCGTTCATGCGGCCGCTGGTTTCTGCAGGATATGACTTGTTCAGCCCTCTCATTTCTCTCGGTGTTCCGAAAGGCGTCACTGAGCTGACAGCTAAACTCTTGCCAGGTTGCAAAGGAGCCCTCGTGGTTCTCGTACCACGTCTTCGCAGAATCCTCCAAGTAGAAGTAAACTCGGCGCTGCTTGCGAACGTCGTCCCATTCGTTGATACTGGCAACCCGATCAAAGTGGTCGAGCCAGTCATCAACATCCTCGAAGATGTCTCCATGGAACGGCTTTGGTGTCTGTGGCGCATGAAAAACATGGGCGAGAAGAGAACCATGGGCATCGCTGGTTTGGACCGCCTGGCTTGTCATCGGAGTTGCCATCTTTCTTGGTGTCGATGTCAAGGGACCAAATTCAGGGGGTAACCCACGCAGGCGGCGGCCACTTCTTGCTCTGGGAGATGTAGCTGTCTCCACGATGGCCGACACAGCCGAAGTACACGTACCCAGCACCTCCACCAGTAAAGTCACGAGCAAAAACTAGACCTGCAGCCAGGAGTTCACTCGAACCAGAGCAACGAAAATGTTCTCTTCTTCGTAGCCCAAAACGGGTATGAGCCACAGCCTCGTTCATCAATGGTGGCATTATATATATATATATATATATATATATATATATATATATATATATATATATATATATATATATATATATATTAGCGAATATTCACGCCCGTGGGTATCGACTGCTATAAAGACCGCAGGATTGGGCGTGTCGGTACAGCATCACTATGAGAGCATGTCAGCACAACCGGCAGGAGGAGACAAAGGAGAGCACGCAGCGCGTTGGCTGTGTAGTCTATGTCCTCTCCTGTCAATTTTGCTGATCTGCACTCACTAATGTGTTCCAAAAAAGAAAAAAAACACTCATATGCACTTCGCGCAGGTTACCATCATCACAGCCGACGAGCCTGTGCTACGCGAATCTTCATTGGCGAAGGAGTCTGGAATCCTGATCCAGAAGATCTCCGCACCGACAACTGGTGACATCCTTCGGGGCGTATCTTCAACCGGACAGATGGTCCCAGAAAGCACACGGTCAACAACTGTTCACGATCTTTCATTGACTGTGGAATCCCTTGAAGGCGTTCACACCACATCACCTGAAGAGCAGTCTGAAAGAGATGCCACGAACACGACGGAAGAGAAGTCCAACGTCCACCACATCAAACTGACGACTGATGGCATCGCGCTGTTCGTTTGGCTCTCGGCCGGCAAAATTAGGGGTCTCTTCTCGGACAACGGCTTCGTCATGACAGAACGCCAGCAGAGCGTGACCTTTACGAGTGACCTGTCGGTGACCTCCGACCAGCTTCGCTCGAACCTCACGGCGACTTGTCTGAACTGCCTGTCGAAACACCACTACTCGCCAATGATCGAGACTAGAGCGTAAAAGCCAAGGAGCACAGTCTTTAGGTTACTCCTCATTAGCTTGTGCAGGGTTTGCAGTAAAATCATTGCCATCCCGGTACCTTCAGCGTATCTTTATTGTGGAAGCAGCTACGTTGGTGATGTCTGCTGAGGGAACATAGATGGAATAATTGTCACTATGGGCAAAACTAAAGAGAAGTACCATGTGTAATTGCACCGTTAAAGGGTACTCTGACATGAAAGCCTTCGATACTGACTTGGCAATTCATTAAGGAGCACCGGGACAGTGTAGTTGCGCTCTTTCTTGCAACGCACAACTTTGTTGAATGAAGCTCAATTCCTCACTTGCAATAGTGAATGCACTGGTATGAAGTTCTTCCGATAATCCGTTCGAAGAGAGCTGCTTCAAGAGCGTTTCATTAGTGCTCGATGAAGCAATGAGAGTAATATGAAAGAAACAAGAACAGCAAAAAGGAGGTATAGGATTTGTCATCGCTTGTTCATCGCTTGTGGATTCGTCCTGGGGCACCATAGTGACTTTTAGCGCACTAATGAGGGCACTAAAACATGATTCGAAGCAGACATGATCGCAGGGTTTTTACTTTCAGACTATATTCAGGCCTAAAGATCCTCTAAGCCCCCACGCAGACAGAGGCTGTAGGCTCTCTATGGTTCTATACGGGCAGACGGCATATGTCGGATTTAGTTTCGAGCGTTTCGGCACTACACTTTTGTGACGGCTGACGCTGGAGTACGTAGCGATCGATCTGTAGTCATTTAAAAGTTTTACAGAGTCTCTGTGCGTACACTTCAGTCGAATTGTACCAAAATCCATTGGAGAAAATGAATCCATCCGGGAAGCGCGCAATTGCCAGACGCTTGTTTGTAACGTGCACAAGCGTCGTCGAGGTGCTGCATGCTTTCTTGCTTTTACAGTCAATTTCTGTAATAAATTGAATGCTGATCAGTATATCAGTAATCAACATGACTATTCGAAATGGCCTTCATTCCAACAATTAGTGTGAACGCGTAAAAAGGACATAATTTGTCTGTGTTGATGCACCACCATAGCCTTCGCATGGTCGTGCAGTGTTGGAGCAAGCTAAGATGTTTCGCAATGCACTGCCAATACGTTAATATTTTCAGTATTTTAACAAGGACACTAAGCAAGAAAAAAACGCTTTTCTATTCTGACTACCTCTGATACTTGGCAACATCATGGCCCAGTTCCCACTAGCTGTACTAATATACTACTATACTGTCACAGATAAGCGCTTCTACCCGAAGGGGTATCATAGCTTTTGTTTCTTTATTTACCGATGGAAGCATATCGAAGTGTAGTAGGTTGAGCACATTACCATGTTGAGGGTAACGCGTTAACGTAGCATGCCCTCGTGAGTAAACCATGGTATTCAGAAACAAAGAATTATCTTTTGCTTTTCCATTGTACGGAAGCACCGCGTCGTATTATTACGCTCGTTTTGCCTGCCCGGTTAAGCGTCCACAAGAGGCGTAATGAAGAAATATAACCAACTTTGTAATGCTACTAGGACGTCTGGTGAGTGTACCGCATTACCTCCGACCCTCCGATCAACGTCGTGTGAAGAAGCAGAGTTGAACTCGCTCCACTGGGTTTGTTCGCTACAGCATTATTCGCTGCACTGAACAGTACTAATGGTGCAACATTACAGCACTAACGGCGTTAAGCAAGGCGTGAAGAGGTCGATGACAGTTAGCAGCGAGATAACTGGCTTTCCCCGTAGTGAATCCAATTGCCCTTTTTGAGTTACTTGCATGGAAAGGGACACGCTTACATTCTTCGCAAGACGCCGCTGGTGTGAGCCGATTGCGCGGGAGTTTCTCTCCGGGGATGTAGGGAAGGGAAAGGAGGCTACGGGGGGGGGGGGGGGGGGGCAATGCTATACGGCACCCGGGCGATTTCTTTACCGTTTACCTCGGCCGACGAAGCACGAAGCGAGATAAGAGAGTTCAGTCATGGTGTGTCGCTGGCTGGTGGGCCAAATGTCTCGATAAAGCCATTGGAAACTTTCGTACGTCGTTTTATCTCGTATAAGAGCGATGTCACATATAAGAACAAAGTAGGCCCAAAAATTCATCCAAAGGAATGGTGAATTTGCGTAAGAACTAATAAAATCGCTAGAAGAGCTGTCCAAGACGAGACGCAGCGTTGCAAAAGGCAGGAAGTTATTAGCGTGTCTTTTTTTGTGTGTGTGTGCGTGTGTGTGTGTGTGTTTTACTAGGCTTACCTTGAAAAGTGTAGAGAGAATTTGTGTTTAAGAAGACCAAAAATAAGGGGATGGTTGGCTTATCTTTTGACACTGCAGTATTTGCGCGTATTAGATACATGCCACTTACCCGCGCCTGATCGTACGCATGAAACCGAATTTCCTTTTAAATGCCAAGCATTTCTTAGTAAACTTACGTGTCTTTCAGCCTATATATCTGTCTATCTAGCCGCTTACATTTGGGTACTCTCGTGGTCACCCCTTTAACTTGGCGTGAACCAAAATTAGCATGGAAAGGTAAGATCATATGACGAATATGACGCACTGGTCAAGACATGAATAATGTCACAATCCCGTCACGTACGTCGTCAAACACTACCCACCAGACAGTGGCACGCACCCACTGGCGGGCATGTGCCGCTGGTATGCGCCGCAGGTGACTGACACTTAGCATCTACCCAGGGACCACGAGAACACACATGGGCAATTTTAACGCGCGAGCGTTAGGAAATACCCGACATTGGTAGCGTTGACCCGACGAATGCAAAGAATAAATGTCTGGGTCCCAGCTGGAATCGAACCCAAGAATTCTGCGTGGAAATGAAGCATTTTACCACAGAAGTATGCCAGGTCCCGTAGCTACGTTTGAAATAGACGCAAAATTTTGTGAAAAGTCCATAGTAGTTGCAGTCCTGCCTTTTCAATTTTATCAACATTACATATGTACTCCTTTGACACAGCCGTCACGTCGAGTTAACGTCAATTGTGGTTAATTGCTATACGCTGAGGTTGATTTATGTAGCAGTGTACAGGGCCAGCATTTTCGCGAGCATCAGCACTTCATATCAGCTTGTGGTGTTGCTAATACGCATGTTCCAGTCGATATAGTTGCGCAAGTGCAAACAACTGGTTATATAAACATCTGCAACTCTTCAACATATATCTGTGCGTGCCACATATGTGCATATATTTGGCATCAATTGATGACGTGTCACTCAATTAACTAAAAAATGCAACACGGTCACCTTCCCTCCACATGCTTCACATAACGTCGTTTTTCAGGTACGTGGGATCTGTCGAATTTTCTTAGTCTTTTTTTCATAAAACAACGCACGCAGTGCGTTTTGCGCCTATTTTTGCTTGGCCTTTTTAATACAAGTCCTATTTAGGTGTACCCTCTGGCCTGCCATAGACACACAACAGCGACGGTGGTTCAATACGACCTAAAAGAAAGTAGTCTTATAGTTTCAAAATAAAACAAGAAAAAATCGAAGCTTCTTCGTAACACTGTCAGCAGTCGCATTGACGTTCCCAAGTACAATTGATTTCACTCTAGGTAATTTTGTGAGAAAACCCATGGGTGCATGAGCTGTTGTAGAGAGTGAACGAACAGGCTGGCAGGTAAAAAAGGGCGCGTGTGCGCAGTTCGCGCTTCCGAGCTTTGCTAGCGGCCACCATAAGGCGCCGCGGTGCTCGTTGACAAGGTTTAAACGCGTTCCCGTGTTCCAAAAAAACTTTGACCGCCACTGTACATTACTAGATTTTTGGCCATTTACGCTGTAAAATTACTATGAGATTATGAGGCACGCTGTAGGCTGTCGAATAATTTTAACCACCCAAAGTCATTTAACGGGTACCTAAATCTAAGTACATGGATGCTCTTGCACATCGTAGCCATTCAATTGCGTCCACCGTGGTAGGAAATGACTGGGATCACTGTAGCTGAGCTGCACGACAAAGCTGCCACTTGATCCACCAGGCGAGTGCAATTGAAAAAGCAGTATAGTTACCATGCTATCATAAAAATTGCGTAATTAACTGCAGATATGTTTCAACGCATGCCTTTTGATTTGCAATGCATGTCTGTTCACAACGAAAGCGCTAAGATCCGACAGTGAGTACCGGTTGAGCTTATAAAAGAACAGTGACAGTGCTAACACTACTGTTGTCAAAGGGCACAGAAGAAACTTCATTGACTGATATGTGGGGTTTAACGTCCCAAAACTACCAGAAAAAACTTCAAAAAACGTTCAGAGTTCGAACTTCTTGCAGGGTATCATTTATTTTTCACTTGATTATATTTTGTATTCTCATCACCGGCTTATACTAGCGGTCGTGGTGATAAGGGTGAAGCGATGGTGTGCGAGTCAGTGAGACGTATTGCCAGATCGGGATAGTGATCGAAAAGCAAAGATGTCCTGACCTATCAGCGCATGCGCTAGAGGTCTAGGCTTTGTGATCGTAGTCATCCGGCCAGTATTCGAGAGCTATGACCACCATTTTGCATTTGCTGTCGACCGTGGATTGTGTTGGAAAGTTGTTTATAATGTATTTTTGAAAGAAATACACCTTCTAAAGGCACATATAGCACGTTTCAGAAAAAAAATGCAGATAGAACAGAGCGCTCTGTCTTATCTGTGTTCTTTCTGAAACGTTCTCTGCGCACCGAGAGAGCATATTTCTTCCAAAAATGCAATACCAATCAGCCCAAGTAGCCACTCTTTGAATATAATGAGCGCGTGTCATACCCCGCGGTCCTGCATACCCTTCAAATATTTTTAATATTATGGCGTGAGTGTCGACCCAGGATATGGTAGCTTTTTATAACGGCAAGATGCAACGAGATCAGCGATACAACGATCAGTGTCACACCAGCTTTCTGAACAGGCCATTACAGCGATAAGGATCAGCAGCAACAGCTAGCGGTACAATGGGTGTCGATGCTGCAAGATAAGTGTGTTTCCGCTCGCACGTTGATGCGGCCAATAGAACCGACCCTTA